GCAGGATGTGGCTCAAGTCTGCCACCCTGCCTGGATGGCCCTTGAGGCCCCTCCTAAGGCCCTCCCTGCACCCCTGGAGAGGAGTGGATCTGTCTGCAGCATCCCCTGCCAGGAGCCACCTGCCCCACATATGCTCCAGGAGAGGCTTTGTCCACCTGCCTCAGCTCTGACTGAGTCCCCCACAGAGAGCACCCCCAGGCCAAGCAAGGACCCTGGTGCTTTTTATTATAGGCAGATGAAAGGCTTTGTCTTTGTCTGGCCCGGGGACCGCACCCCTCTGTTGGGAAGTGGCAGAGGGAGGGAACCTTTCCAGAATAGCACCTGCCTCGTGGGTGGGGGTGGGGTTCTAGTCCCTTCCTGAGCTGGAGACCTTCCCCAGCCCCCCCCCCTCGCCGCTAGAGGCTTCGAGACTCCGCCCCCACAGAGGCCATTCCCGTCCACCCCAGCCCAGCTCTTAGAACAAGAATCACAAAACATATTAGTCCTCCCCTCTGGCAGGAGCAGAGGGCCCTGGGACACCCCCGGCCCCCATCCCAGCCCTCAGAGGCCAACGAGTTCCCTTGGAGACCACCAGCTGGTGCCGGCCTCGGGCGCCCCGGGCGGTGGGGGAAGGGTCCCCGCTCGCGCACGGTCTCTGGTGTAGGTGCCCGGATACCTGCGCGTGGCGTGCGTGTGCGCGCGTGCCCGGGGGCTCCAGCCCGGCTGTCTGCGCCTCCAGCCCCGCTCGTGCGCCCGAGGGTCTCGGTATTTGCCCCGGCCCGGGGGTGCCTCTCTCCGGATACGAGCATCTTGAGGGGGCGCCGCGCCGCGTGTCCCTGCCTGTGCCCCGCGCGTGGGTCCTTGGCGCGGCCGGCCTCCCCCGCGGCAGCTCCCCGGGCTTCTCGGGCCGCAGCCTCCTCCCGGCGTGCGGGGGGCCGCTTACCTCTGGACATGAATCCTCCTTTGTCTGCGCTCCTCGGGGAGATGCTCCGGGCGCGGGGCTGCGAGGCTGAGCCGGGCGCGGGCTCCCCCTGGGCCGAGCGGCGCCTGCAGCCGGGCCTCGCCCCTCCGCGCTCTCCGCCCCCCGCCCGGCCCGCGGCCCGGCCGCGCCACCCCTGCGCCCCGCGCCGCCGCGCCCGCCCGGCCCTGGCCTCGGCTCCTGGGCGCCGCGCTGCCCCTGCCCGCGCGCACCGAGGCCGCCGCCGCTGCCACCCGCGAGCGCCACGTGACCCGCGGCCCGCGAGGGCCCCTCCCCCGCCCGCGCCCGCGCCCGCACCGCACGCGCGCGGGAGCGGGCACCGGAGACGCGCGGGGGCGCTGTGCCCGCGGCTCGGGCGCCGCCCGCCAAGGTGCCCGCGGCGCGGCCGGCCCCGCCCCTGGGCCCGCTCGGGCCTCTCGCCGGCGGGACCCGGCGCCCGGGCTGGTGGCCGCAGCCGGCGGCGGGGCGCGCGAGGCGCGCGGGGCTGGGCGGGGCGCGGGCCGGGCGCGGTGGGGAGCCCTGAGTCAGGCCCGGCGCGCCGCGACCTTGAGCCGGTCGGGAGCTCCCCGAGCCGCGCTCACGCGTTGGAAAAGCCTCGCGTGCGCCCAGCGGGCAGCCGGGACGCGCGTCGCCGGCGCCTGGGCACGGGGTGAGCGCGGCCTCTGGCCGGAGGGTCGGGCCCAGCGGGGCAAAGGGAGCTGGGCTGTTCTAATGCCGGGTGGGGTGCGCACGGGTTCGGAGGGTGCAGCGGGAGGAGGGATGTGGGAGGACTTCTTGGAGCAGGGGAGCGGCCCCTGGAAGGCGAACGGGCAGGGGAGGAGAACAGGGCCTTCCTGGGAGGGGCAGCAGCTGACGGGGTGAGAGCCGCGGGGGGTTGGCGCCCACGCAGCGCCCACTCAGCGCCCACCCAGCGCCCCGGGGCCACCACCGCAGGGAAACTCTGGACGGGGATGTGATTCCAGGATGCAGAGGCTGGGGAGGCGCGAAGCCGGGGGACCCAGCTTAAGGAGCTGGGCTTTGAGAGAGTATCATGGGGGGCACAGCTGAGAGAGCCCAGGTCAAGTGCAGGAGCCCCTGGGGGGCGAGGGGGAGCCGTGGGAGGGGGGCTGGAGAGGAGACAGGCGCTGAGGAGGTGACTGGGCAGAAATGGAAATAGACTGGACGGCATGAAGGACAAAGGAGAGGAAGAGGGATCCCCAGTTTCTGGGGTGGGGGGGCCAGCAGCAGAGACAGCAAGATCAGAGAGGAATCAGCTCCAGAAGAAAAGAGCCACCTATGGCCTTGGCCTGGAGTGGAGAGGGCTGGGGGCCGCCTCGGGCACCCTGCTGACTGGCCACAGATGCCTTGCAGAGGAGTGAAGACCAGAGCCAGGTGAGCCCCCCAGAGTGGGCAGAACCAGAGACCCAGAAAGCCCCAGTGAGCCTTGGAAGTGTTGAGGATGACTCTCCAAGGGGCCGTCCAGGATCTGGGCCCGGCCAGCTTACTGCCACCGGCCAGGCTCCGGGCTTGAGGCCTGCCCCAGCCTCTCAGAGACCAAATGGACTCCAGCTCCGCACTGACCTGCTTGTATGCAGCAGGACCCCGCGTCCCACCCTTCAGCACTAACGGGCTGGGGCCAGAGCCCAAGAAAGAGACTACCAGGGGCGACACCTTTAAAGCAACAGCCATCTCCCCGGAAGGCTGCACGTGGACGCCCCGAGGTCTCAGGTGAGGTCACTGTGCACCTGGAGAGAAGTGCTGCAGGGACAGCTTGCGCCGGGCAGGTGGCCACTTGTCATTCCTGCTCTGTATGTTCCCAGAAGGGGCTTGTGGTGAGAGCTGGACACACTTGCAGCTCATGTGATTACTCCAGCTCTTCAGGGAGCCATGACAGGTGCTCAAGGCAGAGCTCAGCCTAATCGCTCCTCCACCAGGTACCCCCAGAAACCTTCCTTCCCGTGTCTTCCCTCAGCTCAACCTCTCACCAACAGGTGGGGACCCAGCTCAGGCGCATCTGTGTTCTACTGTGTGCTGCCGCTCAACCCCAGTTCTTCCTGCACATTCTGCTCTGACCTTGGAGTCCCTGCTTCCTTGTCTACCTATCCAAGCATAAACCAGCTCCAGGCCTACGCACCCCAGCCCCCCACAGCCACCTAGCACAGCGCCACCCAGTTCTTGGCATTTACCTTTGACTTCTCTGTCCGGGTCCAGTGTGGCAGCAACTGCTGCTGTGTGGTCCAGGGCCTGGTCTGTGCTTCTGTTTGGCATCAGTGGTTCAGTGGCAAAGTCTCCAGTGGCTGGGTTTGGGGTGACCGGTATCACCCAAGCCCGGGATGGGCCCAGTCTGGTTCTGTCCAAAGCAGCAGAGTCTGCAGCCACGTCCAGCTTGATAGTATTTGCTCGAGCACAAACCACGGCTGTGTCTGACCTGGCTGTGCCCGGCTTGACGGGGTGTAGTGCGGCCCAGTTCACGGGCACGGCCCTAGTGGCTGTGTTTGCCTTTGCCCTGCCTGTGCTCACCCTGGCCCTGCCCAGCTTGTCTGGGTCTGGGAACACCGAGGACACGAGCATGTCCAACTTGCTGGTGCCCACGGCAGAAAAGTCTGAGACTGAGCTCTGCCTGGTGTCCAGAGCCGGGCGCTCTATGCCTGTGTCCACTCTGGATGTGCTTGGGGTGACCAAACTGACAGCCAGGCGGGCTCTGTTGGTGGCCACTGCAGCTGAGGGTTGGGCGGTGCCTGACCCTGTTGTGTCCGGAGTAGCCAAGTCCAAGGCCATTGTAGTCCCCTGGGCAGGGCTGGTCGGGGTGGGCCTTTGCAGACGCAGCCGGGATCTTGGGAGGCCCCTGGACCTGTTCCTGCCTCTTCCTGGGGAGGCTCTGGCCGGCACGTGGTCAGTCGCTGGGACGGGGTGCCTCTGACCTGCCGATCCCCGCCCCGGAGGGCCTGGTGGGCCCTGGGTCAGCCGGGACTGGAAAGGGAGGGTCAGGTAGGAACTCACCAGCGGCTTCTCCGCTAAGGGCGTCCGGCTGGGTTTGGCCAGATGTGGGCTCCCTGGGCCCTCGGAGTGGACCCTGCTCCCTGGCATGAGGGTCACAGACGATGAGCCTGCAGTGGGCAGCCTTCCTTTTCCGTGGATGGCAGCCTCCTGACCCAGAGTGGGAAACTCTCCCCAGGGAGAAGGTGAGGGGCGCAGCGACCACGCCTGGCTGTTCTGGCGGAGCGTCAGGGAGATGGAGCTGAGTTTCCTGGGCGCTGGGTTGTCCCCGGGCTCGTGCAGGGGCACGCTGTGGGCCCTGGCCCCAAAGCCCGGACGGCCGGATGCCTGTGGGATGTGGCTTTGGGGGAAGGAGTCCAAACGAATGGTCTTCCTGAGGACAGGGGTGAGGGTGCACACCCCTCCCGGGAGCTTTGAGGAGCGGGCCGGGCACCCCAGCTGGTGGCTGCGGGAGGAGGGTCCGGGGCTGGGGGCTCTGTGCGGCTGCATCTCGAAGTCGTGCTCCATCTGGGGGTTCCTCTTCCCCTGCGGCAATCAACGAGAGGTGAGGCGGGTACTGAGGCCTGGAGGCCCCGCCCTGCCCTCCCGGCAGGCAGCCAGCTCTGCAGGGACCCTGTGGGGTGGGGGACTGTCAAGTCCCGGTGGGGTGCCCTTCCTGAACCCACACACCTCACATGCTCAGAACCTCACGCACCTGGGTATGTGTGGGAAACAGCCCAGCAGTGGATGGTCTGCAGTGGGGCTCCCTCCCCCTTTGCTGAGAGCGGCCCCTCTCCAGGGACAGCTCCATGGCGGTCACATCCACCTGTTCGGGGACCCCAGAGAAGGGCAGTCGTTCTTGGAGGCCTAGCGACCTCGGCCTCTTCTAGAAGGAAACAGAGGGACTCCGAATTCCTACCCCAGCATCCAGGGAGGAGGCCAAGAGATGGCCCATTTGACTTGTGCAGGGTCAGCACCTGGGGCTCCTGCCCAGAGCCAGGAGCGAGCCCAGCTGGCCGGGCGCTGGGGCCACAGCCACAGCCAGAGCTGGAGAGGCCTGGAGGGGATGAGCTGGCCACCGAGGAATAACAAGGGCCCACGGGAGATTTGTCCAACCTCTGCCCCTGGGAAACCTCGAGGAGCAGGCAGGAGGGGAGAAGGAGCAGCAGCTCAGACTTCCATGTCAAAAGAGGGAGGCTGGGCCGGCTGGAGGGGGTAATTCACACAGAAGGTGAGAAAGTGGCCTCTTTCGGAGAAGCCGTGGGCCTCAGAGGCTGTCCTGGGGGCAGAGACACCCCCCACCCTTCTTGGGTTGGGCGTGTGCAGCCCCCAGGGCGGTGACTGCGGGTGGGAGAGCGTGCGGAGGCCCGGAGTGAGCAGCGAGGCCCCTCCGGAACACCGTGGCCCGCGTGGGCCGGAAGAAGGTGGCCCCGCACAGCGGTAGAAGCGGCAGGACCTCCGAGGGTCCGGGACTCTGGCTGGTGGTCTGTGTGGAATGAGCCTTTCTCCCAGGGGGCTGTGGGGCCCCCAGATGGCCAGCTGGTGCCCGCTCTGGGCGCCTTAGAACTCACCCTGGGGAATAAAGTCATTTCTGTGCTCTCAGCCAGTTGTTTTCAGCACATGGTCCTGGGGCAGCGGGGAGGTTGGGTGGTGCTCCTGGGGGAGGGGAGCTGACCCACAGCTGAGCCCCTAAGGTCCCGACGAGCCGTCCAGTCCCCACCGTGGTGCTCCAGCCCCTCATCCCTCTCCAGTCACATGTACTAGCCAAAACCATCCTGGCCTCCGCCACCTCCACTCAGCACGGCCCTGAGCCTGCTGCCCGGCCCGGCCCCCTCAGCCCGGGGCCACCCCCGCTGCATGCCCACCAGGGGATCCTGGCAGGACTTCTGAGATCTGTCCTGACACCCTCAGATCTCCATCCCCTCCGAGTCTCCGCCTCCCATCCTCCCGCGCTCCCCATACAATGCCCACCTACCTTGATCAGAGAACAGGAAAGGCCGGGTGGTCCTCAGTCTGGAGTGCCGAGAAAGGTGCAGGCCCCTCACCTCATCTGCACCTGGCTACTCGCCATGGTGACCAACTCAAGGGCCTCTTCCCTCCAGTCCCCTCATCGACTCCCACCCAGCCTCCCGGCCACAGTGCCCACAGGCCCGGCCCTCCTGACCTGTGCCACCAGCTGCATCCCCAGCCCCAGCGGGCTGGGCTCTGGGGCAGGGAGGGGCTGGCTTCCCGGGAGTGGGCGGCAGTGAATGCTGCTCTGAGCTTCTGGAATCCCGAAGGCCCAGGGGAGGCTCGTCCAGGCCAGGCTTAGCCGCCCTGGACACATGGCCACCTGGGGGTGTGCCCGTCTCAAATCTGCTCTGTCTCCCACAGGCTGACCCCTGGAGTGATGTCTCCAGAAAGAATAGGAACACCCCAAGTACGCGCACGCACTGCCAGCGCCAGCGCCAACCCCACTCTGCTTCCCCTCTCGCCCCCACACCCTGGTGGGTCTGGGACCCTCAAGCCGTCCTGTCGACCCCCCTGAGGTCTTTCCTTCAGAAAGGAAAGGGGTTCCTAGAGGCTACAACAGGGAGTGCTCCTTCAACAGCTGCTCCCCAGACCCCTGCCCACGCCGGCTGGACCAGGTACCAAGATTCCGAGGATGCAAACACAGCCCAGGCCTGGACCCAAGGAGACGGGTACCGGCCACTCTGGTGGGGGCCCGAGCAGGTGCTCTGTCCTGCCTCTGTCACAGTGACGGGCCCGATAACCACGTTGCACAGAGCCTGGCTGGAAGGAGCCTGACCGCGGTCAGCGGACCCTTACTGTGACGGGAGGTGACAGCGGCCGACCTCCTCGGGCCTCACCCTGTGCCCGGAACTGGGCACCGCCTCCTCCCGGCCTCCCCTTCCAGCCTCACGGGTCGCCTGCCTCTGCTGACAGGGACGTGCCCGCTGCGCGGGGCGTGCGGTCCGGTCTGGTCTGGGCGCCGCTCTCCGTAGCTCCTGCAGCCGAGCTGCCCAATGGAACCTTCTCGATAATGGGAATGTTCTATGTGAGTGCGGCCCCCTTGCCATAGCCATGGCGCCGCTGAGCCCCGCCAACACGGCCACGGCCGCAGACGAGCAGGCACTTTTGTTTTATTCCATTTAAACAGAGGCTGTCGTATTGGGCAGCGTAACTCTGAAGGCCTGAATTTCGTTCTTCCCTGAGTCCCAGGGCCTGGCCAGCGCCAACCGCAGTCACTTCGGCAGAATCAGTGACTGAAAGGAACGAATGAATGAGTGAAATGAACCAAGGATGAATATGTGGGCTTAGGAACACCCCTCCTGCTCCAGTCTCTCCCTTTCAAGCTCCAGCTTTTCAAACTTGCTGTGCCCTGGTTGCCAGGACAACCTGCTGGCAGGCCAGTGGGGGGGAGGGGCTGTCTGGAGTCCTTGCTCCTTCCCTCCTGGCTTGGAGGCCTGAGAACCAGTCTGATTTGAGGAAGAGCAGGGAGGTGACTGGGGGCCGAGCCAGCCCTGCCTGGACAGACCGGGTTGGGGAGCTGTTACTGGGCCCCCTGCCCTGGATCGCATCCCCTCCGTGAGGTGACGAGCCCTAAGCTGCAGCCGGGCCCCGGCTGTTCGCCGTCAGCGGACCCTTACCGTGACGGGAGGTGACAGCGGCCGACCTCCTCGGGCCTCACCCTGTGCCCGGAATCGGGCACCGCCTCCTCCTGGCCTCCCCTTCCAGCCTCACGGGTCGCCTGCCTCTGCTGACAGGGACGTGCCCGCTGCCAGAGACATGGCACCACTGAGCCCCGCCAACGTGGCCACGGCCGCCGAAGAGTGGGCACTTTTGTTTTATTCCACTTAAACAGTGGCTGTCATACTGGGCAGCGTAACTCTGAAGGCCTGCTCTGGCCTTCAGAGCCAGAGCTCTGGCCAAGTAACTCCTGCTCTGGCCAAGGGCTCTGCAGCTTCTAGCAGGTCCACTCCCCTCTGCTCCTCAGCTCCTTTTCAGGTGGGGACCAGAGGCCCTCCCGCAGTTTCTTCTAGCTTGCAGATCTAGATTCCTCCCTCTTGCTCCCTGCCAGGCTGTTAGGGCCTGGAGAGCAAGGAACGAGTCTCTTGGTCTCTGCGCGGCCCTGCCCGCCTGCTGCCACTCTGCTGGTGGGGCACTGCAGGCCAGGGGTTCCACAGCTGGGTTCTGCTGCCCTCTCGTGGTCTAAACTGGCGGTGACCTCCTCTTCCAGCAGGCACAGAAGTAGCCTCAGTGGACAGAGGTTGCCCCAGCAGAGGCATCGTGGTGGCCTCCAGACAAGTGGCACGGGCTCGAGTCACCCTCTGTGTCATTCTGAATGAGTCACTCGTCTCCCTGAACTCTGGCTTCTTCATCCATAAGTGGGGGTGGCAGCCTCAGGAGGGGTTCAGTGGTGCTGCAGTCACAATTCCAAGGCCCAGTGGCTGATGCCAGCAAGGGTTTTTCTCCTCCCAGCCTCATGTGCACTGTGGTTTGGGGCTTCAGAGGCTCTGCTCCTGGCCACCTTCGTGCTGACCCCGGGCTGATGGCGCAGCCCCTCCTGGAGAGGGCAGGAGGTCGCCGGTTATTAAATGCTTAGGCCTAGACTCAGTTTTGGCTGCAAAGAATGAGTGGCCTGGCCCCACGCACCCCAGTGGCCAGGAGGTGGCCCCGGGAGCAGTGCCCGGCGCTTCAGGCTGCGTCTTTGGCTGCTGAAGGGGTTACCATGGACTCTGCTTCCCTCTTACATGGGCCCTCGTGCGTCCCTGTGACTTCCACCCCAATTCCAGCTATTCCAGCTGTAGAGACAGGGAAATGGATTCACCAACGTTCACACAATAAACCAATAATTGGGCACCCAAGACTCTGGCCTCCAAATTCAGAGCCCCTCCCACCCTTCGGGGGTGGGGTGGAGAAGGGCCCACCCAGGGTCCCCTATAAGGGTGTCGACTGAGGAGTGAGGCCCTGAGAGGGAGCCTGCAGTCTCCACCCTCCTCCCAAGCTGGCCTCCCAAGCCCTTCCTGCCCAGCAGAGGGGGTGGAACAATGAGAAGCTTGTGCCACCCTCTTGGGCCAGAATCCGAACATCGCAGTGGTTCCCACGCAGGCCCTGCACATTCCTGCCCCTGCCCGGTCCTGGGCCTAGACACGCCCACCACATCCTGAATGGCTTCCAGATGGTGGGAGAGGAAGCTCCCAGGCCCTGCAAACCTCCCAGTGCGTCCAAACCTGAACGACAGCCTAACTGCAGGAAGCCTCTAAACTGCTCTAAAGTCTTAGTCTCTAAGCAGACACATAGCCCTTGGCAAGACTTCCAAAGAGAATGGCTCCTTTCATCCAAGCAGGTCCCTGCCCCATGCCAGGCAGGCTGCAGGCTGAGATGAGAAGACACCATTGCTGCCATCCACAGATACATGAGCAAAATCACAATGCAAGATTAGGGCTGTCACGGGGAAAGCTGCATATAGGGTCAGGGAAGCCTTCCTGGAGGAGGTGGCAACTGGAAGGTCATCAGATTCTCTTCCTAGACCTGAACTTTACTTGAAAAAACACCTCTGGTTGTTCTGTCCCTCCCACCACCACCTGGGGTTCTGTGCTTCAACCACATCCCACCACTCACAGCTCTCAGCAAGAGCTGCCCTCCCTCCAGCCGCTGTGGCTCTGCCTTTGCCAGCTTCCCTTCCCTTTGCAGGGAAAACACTTATTCAGCCGTTGAAGCCCAACTCCACAGTTACATCTTCCAGAAAGCCTCTCCTGACAACCCCCTGCCCTGAGAGTCAGGCATCTCCTCTGTTTTGCTTTCTGTTCCTCCCACACACTTCTCTTCCTGCAATTAGTTCTGTCATCTGTCTGGTAACACATTCTCTTGCCCTCCTTGATTCCGGGACTATTGTCTGCCCTGTCTTTGCGCTCTTGGTACCAGGCCTGGTGCTGGGGTAGAGCAGACACCGCATGCCGCAAGGGGTCCAGGTGGTTAGCTGAATGATGCACACACTCACTTTCTGCCTCAACATTGGCCACAACCTCACAAGGCTGGCAGATTCTCTCCAGAGAACCTGACATGAGCTAAGCATGTGTCGGGCACAGGCAGGGGATATTGATGTGAACTTTCATCATCTGTGATTTTCAGGGCCTGGCACACAGAAATCGTTGGTGGACCCAATTGGACATCTAAGAGCTAAGGACATTTGCCCCTGAACTTGCAATTTAGAGGAACTGTTTTATAGGATTTACTGTTGTCAGGCCCTGACCTAGTTTGCTCCTACTACAGTCCTCTGGCAGGCCCTGGCAGCTGGGAAAATATCTGTCTTCACAGATGCTGGCTTGTTTCCACAGGGTCTGCCACCTGGGTCAACTCCGCCCTGCCCCCCATTAAAAAAATGCCGAGACATTTCTTTGTAGTATTTAGAACCAAAAAATTTGTCTTTCATAAAAAGTCAAGCTTTCCCTTCTATCATACAACAAGAATAAAATGACCTCTTTGTGTTTCCCCTTTCTCTCTGGCTGCCAGGAAGCTCCAAGTCAAGTAACAGTATTACAGCAGGAGTCAGAATCCAAATATTTCCTTCCACCCCATGCTTGTGACTCTTTCAGCTGAAGCCTTCTGGCATCCTCTATGGGGAGAACAGGTGTAAATAACCATTTATGTAGCAAGTCCTGGAAGAAGACCAGGAAAGGATCCAGTTTTTAAAGCAAAAGTTTGGGTGAGTCCCTTCCATTCTGAGCCTCAGGCTCCTCTTCAGCAGCTCAGAGAGGGCACCGGTGAGGAGGCCTGACCACTGCCCCGGCCTCAGGCAGGTTCAGTCAGCATCCGCCCGGCTGAGGTTGTGAAACTTATTCACACCTCAGATGCCGTGTGGCCAAAATGTTTATTTTTAAAGTGGAGTCAGAAAAAGATTTTCTTGTGAAACCTCCTGATTTTTAAATGTCGTGAATTAATTTGCATTTTTTCCAAACACTGGGTTGGACACACCAAAGTTGGCCGCAGGCGCCACACAGCTGAGGCCCTTCCCAGCTCAGCCAGTCAGGCCGGGTCCACTTCTCGCAGGTTTTTGGTGGCTTCAGGCTGGGACTGGGGTGCAGTTTACATCACTTCTAACCCTGCCTCCCCTACCCCCTGCCCCCAGCACCCCAGGAGAGCTGCCTCCTTCTGAATTGTCTAAACCAGGTCTTGGTGACCAGTCCAGGTGGGCCGGACCCTGCCTGGCCTCAGGTGACTGGTTGAAATGACCACTTGAATCCCAACTCATCCCTCCCCAGAGAGGGAGACAGATCTCCCCTAGGTGGGGCTTAAGACAGAAAACTTGCGGGGTTGTGGGGGTCCTGGCTAATGAAGTGAGCTGCAGGAGCTGAGCTGAAGACTGGCTTGAGAAGGAATGCTCTGGGTCTGGATGTGGGCTCTTGGGCTTTGGGTCCCTGCTCCTGCTACGGGGCGCCCCACCCTGGGAGTCACTTCCCCTCTTGCCCAAGCTGGCGGGGTCAGGGTTTCCTGACCCCACAATCATCAGTCCTCTGCCTCTGCTTGGGCCTCTCCAGTGCCACCTGCAACCAAGCACAGGTGACCCACTGAGCTTCCAGCTCTGCCTTGCCAGCCTCACCCCCACACCCCCACTCTGCTCAGATTAGCTTGGGTGCAGCGCATGATGTCTAGAACCTCATAGGGAGCCCAAAATACACCGGGGCTGGCACTGCAAGGGAAACTGAGGCAGGGTGGGACTGGTAACCAGTGGGTATAGCTGGTCTCCCCCATTCTTACGTGGGGAGACCTGAAAGGCCCAGGAAGGCCCTGCCTTCCAGTGGATCCTCAAGAAACCCATTCACCTCCCCCCTACCTCCCCCACCAGGGCCACCTGCTCTCAGGCTCACCCAGCTCTAGGTTCTGTCTGTGATTTGCTCCTCCATCCCCCTTGGTTTTCACCCAACACTGCCTCCCCCCACCCCTGGCTGGGGGGCGGGGAGCTGCCTGGCAACCAGGGCACCCATTCCTGGAATGTGCCTGGGGCTGATGAAGTTCAATCCCCCCACACCCCAATCTTTTTCAGGAACAAGATGCACACCGACTCCTGAAATAAAGGCGCTAGGGGCCGGTGGCTCTGGGTGGCTCAGGCGGTGGAGTGCAGCGCTGTGAAGCTGTCCACAGCCTTGCAGTGTGGGTTTGATCCGGCCGGCCACAGAGATACCCACATGGCATGGCAGACCTCTCCTTTCTTGCCCGCTGCTCCCCTCAGCAGTGTATTTCGTCAGTCTGCCTGTTCTGCTCCCCACTCTGTCTCTGGTGAATCCTCTCACCCTCCCACACCTCTGGCCTGTACCCCGGTTCTTATATAAATAAATCTTTTAAAAATATAAAAAAAAAAAACAAAGGTGCTAGGGGCCATGTGAGCCCAGGACTGCCGGGACCAACCTCTTATGGGAGAAGGAAGCCAACAGGGAGGCGAACAGGACATAGGGGGGTGGATGGAGAGGGGCACAGGGACCCAAGTGGGAGCTGAACCCTTTCATTTCAGCTGCTTTAGTTTAGTCCCTGTCCCTGCCAGATTCCTGGCGGTAGTGAGGGGACCAGGCCCTGGCCCCCGCAGCCGCCCAGAGGGTGGGAGGGCAAATCGCCAAGAGTCATCAAATGCTCCACCGGGGGGAGCGGTCAGGGCTGTGAGACTCAGAGATGCCAGGGGTGGGGCTGGTGCAGCAGAGGCCCCAAGAGCACGGAGTTGGGGGTACTAGATGGTCTCAAGAGTCTCCCCCCAGCCCAGCTTGACAAGACTGGCAGCTTTTGCCCTGCCTGCAACTTGTGAGCCATGTGTTTGGGAGCAAGACCTGGTCTGGGGTCAAGAATCCTGCCCAGACCTCAGCCTGCTGCCCTGTGGCCTTGCCTCAGCCAGTCCCTACAAAAACGGAAAAGCAGCTGTCCCCTTGCTCCTGCCTCGGTGCGCGGCTCCACGGGTCACACAGCCACCCGCTGAGGATGATGCTTCCCAGCCTCCCTTGCAGCGAGGAGTGGCTGAGCGCCCACGGGTGACCATGAGATGTAGGGGGGAGGAGGGGACAGCCAGCAGGAGGGGCGCCCCTCCACGCTCCCTGCTCCTCAGGGTGCAGATGGGCCCCCATTCCAGGCACAGACCAGCAGCAAGGGGAGCCACTAGGTCTGCTCTGGAGAAGCCAGACTGACCGCGAGAACTGAGACCAGGCTAACGGCCTGTGCTTTGTGCCTCGGAGCCCTCGCTGGTACACCCCAGGTTCCAGCCAGCAGTTTTGGTTGAGGGGAGGTGCTCCTGGTTTCCAGGCGCCAGAGACCAGAGACCCTCAATGCCCCATACTCAGGGGACAGCCCCCAGCGAAGGGGGACAAGCTGGTCCAATGTGTCCGTGGAGCTGCTCCAGCCCCTTGGTGGGGTTCTGTCCCTAAAACGGGGCCTATGGCGCTAGCTCGCTGCACACCCCTGCAAGAGGAGATGCACGCCGGCTCTCGGGGAAGGAGACACCCTGGGAGCCACCCCCGTTGCCGCGAGGTCTTTATTGTTGCAAGAGACAAAATGGGAAGCCCCAGCAGAGGAGAGGGAGAGGTGGCCGGCCCACATCTAAAGTGAGGGCTCCCGGGGGAGATCGGGGGCTGGGGGTTGACTGGGAGAGGGGACCACACATGACCACGTGGTCACGGCACCCCCGCATGACCCATGGGCTCAGCCCCCCACCCCTCCCACCTCTGGGGCCCCCACTCCACTCACATATATATGGCCTCCTCCCCTCCCTTCCCGCCCACCCTTGCCCCAAAGTTTCTCTCTCACACCCACACCCCTCCTCCCTGCTGTCTGGGCCCACTGCTCACCCCACACACTCACACACTCCAGGCCCAGGGCCAGGGAGGGGGCTTGGCTGGGCACTGGCCTCCTCCACAGGGTGTTTCTACCTCAGATCAGCTTGGGAGCCCGCCCGCCATGGAGCTGCAGGGTGGTGCTGAGCCAAGTAGGGAGCTGAGTGTACAGTGGGGCCCAGGGAGCTCTGGAGGCTCAGGACAAGCAGGGGCTGCAGGGGCTGCAGGGTGCCAGGTAGCACAAAGGCACTGGGAGCGAGTGGGGAGTGTCCCCAGAGCCGGGGCAGACAGGCATGGGGTAAGCCGGCTTGACGTGGCGAGCAGCTCCTGGGCCCACAGCAGCGACGGGCCAGGCCCCCAGGTTCCCCATCCCTCCTTAGCTCCCGGAGCACCCAGAGGCCACTGCTGGGCGGGCGCAGGCCTCAGGGGTTGAGCCTGGTGGACCAGGGGTCATCTCCCTCCGCCCCAGGGTGTCTAGGTTGGGTGGGGAGGGAGGGCAGGTGGTGCCTCCTGCCCCCGGCCCTTGGGTCAGCTCAGGCCTCCGGGCCCCCGAAGGCCAGGTTGTCGCGGACCATCAGCGTCTTGTGGAGGTCGCGGTCCACCAGGGGGCGCTGCATGCGCCACTTGTGCGCCTCCTGCAGGCCGGGCTCGAAGTAGTAGATGCAGGCACCGAAGCCCACGAGGATGAGGACCGAAATGACCAGGTAGACGGGGACGAACCAGTCCAGGAAGTGGGGCATCACGGCTGCCTTGGCTGCGGAGACATGGGCCGCAAGGGTCAGCAGAGGAGGTCCTTGTCCCTCCCGCCTGCCCAGAGAGGGACCCACAGGCTCGGGAGAGCGGGCGATGCAAGCATCACGTCACGGATGGGAAGATCGAGGCCCAAGAGAGTAGGGGCCAGTGTCTGAATAGGACCCCTTGGCCACTCACAGCTCTAAGAGGGGGCAGAGAGGACTTGGGGGGCAGGGCAGCTGAGACCCAGTGAGTTCCCCGATGGCCAGCACTTGCAGCCAGTGCCCGAGTGTGATGGTGCTGCCTATTCTGGGTGTTCTTATCTCTGAGCCTCAGTTTTCTATGTGTGAAATGGGGGTAGAAGTGAGACCCAGTTCTTACGAACACTGTGGGTGTGTAACAAGTCAGAACCTAGAGCGTCAGACCACCCTGCCCGGCACTCGGTGAACCACAATCAAGAGGCATCACCACAAATGGGGCCGCCCTGTGTCTTGGCCCCTGGGTGCATAAAATCCACTTTTACACTATAATGCCTTCTATTAAGTGTGCAATAACATCATTTCTTTAAAAATGTACATATCTTGGGGCCTCCCTGGTGGCCTAGGGGTTAAGACTCAGCACTACCACCCCTACGCCTGAATTCGATCCCCGGCCAGGGAGCTACCCACATGGCGCGGCAGACCTCTCCTGTCTCCCCGCTGCTCCCCTCAGCAGTGTATTTCAGTCAGTCTGCCTGTTCCGTTCCCCACTCTGTTGCTGGTAAATCCTCTCAGCTCCCCAACACCTCTGACATAAATAAATAAACCTTTTTTTAAAAAGCACATATCTTCGCCCTAAACCTTCAGTTTGTAAAAAACATGGTATCTGCGGAGCGGGTTCTGCAGGCACAGCACCCTGAGGAAGGCCTGTGTTCGCTATCATTTCTACTGGGCCAGAGGCAGGGAAAGCAGGAGAGCGGAAGGTAGCAGCTATGGGTAGCTTCAGAAACATCCAATCTACTTAGCTCCTTAGAATGGCCACAGGCACCCCCATCTGCTTGCTGCCACCCCACCTGCCTCAGCACCGCACCCCACGAGCGTGCCATCACATGGAGCCGCTAGTCAGGTCCCGGCGTGCACCTGCACCTAGTGTGGCACTCACTTTGCAGGTGCCTTCTGTCCCCTGGACTGTCCTTTGAACGTGTGGCCAGTTGGCAAACTCCTATTCATACTTCAAAAGCCAAATCAGGGCTTCCCCGGTGGTGCAGCGGTTGAGCGCTGGGTTGCGAAGCTGCCCGCGGCCTCTGCAGCGCCGGTTCGATCCCCGGCTGCTCCCCGGCCACCAGAGGAGGGTCCCACATGGCGCGCAGACCTCTCCTGCCGCCCGCTGCTCCCCTCAGCAGTGTGCTTCGGTCCTTCTGCCTGCTCTGCTCCCCGCTCTGGCTCTGGTTATTTCTCTCACCCTCCCGCGCTTCTGACTGTACCCAGTGCTTGTATAAATAAATAAATAAAATAAATCTTAAAAAAAAAAATTCACTTTAAAAAAAAAAAAAAGCCAAATCACATATCATCTCTAGGAAGGAGATCAATCAGATCCTTTAACCTCCCCCCAGAACTTTCCAGAGGTGGAAAAGGCGGGGGCAGAGTGTCCCACTTGTGCCTGCCGGGCAGGGAGAACGCTGTTACGAAGCTTTCACAAAGCCTACAGCAGGCCTGTGGGGCAGGTGTTACTTCCATATTTTATAAGTGAAAAAAAACGAGGCCCAAATGGGCTCACTGACTTCCCCTGGGTTAGCCAGGGAAGTGACAGGGCTGGGCCCCAAACCCTGGCCATATCTCAAGGTTCAAGACCCCCAGGTTGGGGAGGCCCCTGAACAAAATTAATGAGCCCAGGGCACCTCGACTTTGGGGACAGGAGAAAGGGGGTGGATGGAACAACCTCTGGGACTGGCTGCAAGAGAAGCCCCAGGGTCGTGATCCCCTAGCTCCAAACATCAGCTCCTGCCCCCTACTTCTGCCAGGCGGGTCTCAGAGATGGGGAGGGGGAGATGTAGCTTCTCAGTCTCGCATCCATCCAGAGCCTCCCCCCTGCCCCCAGGCTCCGCACTGGCTGTTCTGAAGTACAGACGATGCCCGGGCCCTGTTCACGCAGGAGTAACATGCAGAGTGAGCTAATGGCCAGTCAGGGCTGGGAGGTGCCCTCCTAACCACCTGCCTTTCTGGAGAGCCAAAGAGAGTTCAGAATTGCAGGGTGCTGCCTGGGCTAGAGGGAGGCAAAAGGCGACCCCAAACAGGGCGACCCCCAAGCCTCGCCTGGGATCCTTTCCCCACAGCTCGAACATGAGACTGGGGAGCTCAGGCAGAGAGGAGCTGTTTTAGCTGCAATGCTGGAGATTTGAGGGGCACAGTTCAGGTCCCCCAACTTCTCCAGCCCAGTGACCAAAATCCCAGGCATGAGAGCAGACTGGGCCACGAGACATTTTCTGCGCTTCCCAGGGGACTGGCCTATCTGAAGCAGAGCACTCGCCCGCCTTCTGCATGACCTTGGGCCACTGCTCACCCTCTCTGGACTTCAGGGTCCCCACAACACCGTGAGGGTCCCCTACCCCCATGCCGTCACGGTGCTGGCGGTGACAGATGATCTATATGGAATTTTCCAGCCCCTTCCAGCTGAGGTCCTGTCTGGGGTGGTGTGAGGCTACAGAGTCCCCCTCCCTGCCTCCCAAGCCACTGGCACCACTCGGGCCCCCCACCCCCACCCGAGTGCCCAGAGACCCACCTCACTGCTGGCAGGCACCTGCTCTGGGGGTCTGCGCTGAGCACGCCGCTGTGGCCTGAGCCGCTCAGCGCCGGCCCGCGGACTCAGTCGCAGCTGCCGTCCCCAGGGACACTGCCATCTGCGGTCGCCCTGGGTGCTGGAGGCAGAGGATGGGCGAGACCAACACCCCACGCGGGAGACAGTTTCTCAGGCTCGGGGGCTCCGACAGGCCAGGAAGGCTCAGTCCTAGGCTGCCCGGCACCCTGGTACCTTTCGCTGCCCATCAGAGACCCTTCTCTCTGCCCCCAGCCCCAGGATGGCAGGAGGCGGTACCTGTCTCAGCCAATCAGCAGCCTGGCAGGGCAAGGGCTTTATCCTCCGTTGCCCTGGCAACCAGCCTTCTCTTCTGGATCCTTCACATTGTGCATGTGGTACAGAAATGATAGGCAGAGCAGGGTGGGAAGGATTCGGGAGGGATGGAGCCACCCAGCAGGCAACTGGGGCCCACCGGGCTCATGGGCCTGGAGGAGAGGCCCCCTCCCCCCACCAAGGGCACAGGGAGGACCTGGAAACTTGCCCTTTGAGGGTGGAGAGGCTGGTCCTTGGCAAGTGGGGGGAACACAGAAGCAGTGACGGGTAGAGTCGAGGAGGGTCATTTTTAGAGGGGATGTTATAGGGCAGCCCCGATACAAAACGGGGTGCCTGACTGTGAGTCCTCACCTGCGCGCTTGAAGGGACTTACCAATGCTCTACTGCAGGCACACGCGAAAGGTTCATAAAAGGTTTATTCACAGGGAAGGGGAAATGAGGAAATGTACAGCTCAGGGAGAAAAGTGGGAGACAAAGTTTTAAACGCGTCCTACCCGATCCGCCGATCTGGAATCCCAAATGGCACCAGAGAGCTGGCCGCGAGCCAGGAGCTGTGAAGCCAGGAGGTGAGCAACAGAGCGAGCGACCCCACGGCCCACGTGTCTGGTTTTTATACCAACCCTGGTTGCTTAACTCCACCCTCAGGTCCCAGCCACCCTCAGGTCCACAGTCCCCTGAAGGCTGACTGGTCCAGCATACAGATCGACCCCTCAGCCTCCAGGCTGAACTGGGGCCGGCCTACAGCTCAACCCCCTCAGCCTTCAGGCTGGGCTGGAGCCGGCCTGCCAGTCAACGTCTCAGCCTCCATGCCTGGCTGGGGCCGGCCTGTACGATGACCTCTCAGCCTCCAGGCTGGGCTGGGGTCAGCTTGCAGGTGACCCCGTTTGCCTACACACTGGGCTGGGGCCGGCCTGCATGTCGACCCCCTCAACCTACAGGCCCGGGTGTCCTGCAGGTAGACCCCGTCAGCCTCCAGGCTGGCCTGGGGCCAACCTTGTGGTTGACCCCCTAAGCCTCCATAATGGGCTGGGGTCAGCCTGCTGAATGAACTCCTCAGCCTCCAGGGTGAGCTGGGTCCGGATTGCAGGTCGACCACTCAGCATCCGGGATGGGCTGGGAACAGCCAATACGTTGACCCCTCAGGCTCCAGGCCTGGCTGGGAAGGGCCTTCAAGCTGACACCCTCAGCCTCGGGGTTGGGCTGGGGCCGACCTCCAGTCAAACCCCTCGTCCTCCAGGCTGGAGAAAGAGGGGACTGACAGGCAGGCCGGCCAGGCCAGAAGTGAGGTGAGTAGTTGACCTGCAGGCCGGCTCCAGCCAAAACTGGAGGCTGAGAGGGTTGACCAACCGCCCCAGCCCAACCTGGAGGCTGAGGAGTCGACCTGCAGGTTGCAGGCAGCCAGGCTGGAGGCAAAGGGGTCGACAGGCTAGCTGGCCAAGGTCAAACATGAGGCTGAGGGGTCTGCAAGATGGCCTTAGCCCAGACTGGAGGCATAGGGGTTGACCGGCTGGCCAGCACCAGCCAAGTCTGGAGGCAGAGGGGATCGACCTATCTGTAGAACGGCCCCAGCCAGCCTGGAGGCTCAGGGTTCGACCTGCAGGCCAGCCCAAGCCAGGCCTGAAGGCTGAGAGGGTCAAAAGGCAGACCGGCCCAGCCTGCAGGCTGAGGGGTCGAAGGGGAGGCCAGTCCAAGCACAGCCTGGAGGCTGAGGGGTGACCTGCAGGCCGGCCCCAGTTCATCCTGGGGAGTGAGGGGTATGACCATCAGGGCAGCCCCAGCCCATCTTGGAGACTGACAGGGTCGAACTGAGGGCAGCCCCAGCCAAGCCTGGAGGCGGAGGGGATCAACCTATCTGCAGAACGGCCCCAGCCAGCCTGGAGGCTCAGGTTTCGACCTGCAGGCCAGCCCAAGCCAGGCCTGAAGGCTGAGGGGTCAAGCTGCAGGCTGGACCCAGCCCAGACTGGAGGGAAAGGGAGTAAACAGGCAGGTCGGCCCCAGCTCAGACAAGAGGCTGAGGGGTCAACCTGCTGACTGGACCCAGCCAGGCTAGAGGCACAGAGGATCGACATGTGGCCTGCCCAAGCCCAGTATGGAGGATGAGGGGTTAACCTGCAAACCAGACCCAGCCCAGCCTGGAGGCTGAGGGGGTCCACAGACAAGCTGACCCCAGCGCAGCAAGGAGGCTGAGGGGTCGACCTGCAGAGTGGCCCTAGCCCAGCCTAAAGGCTGAGGGGTCGATGTGCAGGCCAACACCAGCCCAGCCTGGAGGCTGAGGGGGTTGACCGGCAGGCCTGCCCAAGCCCAGCAAAGAGGCTGAGGTGTCCACCAGCAGGCCAGACCCAGCCCAGACTGAAGGCAAAGGGGGTCGACAGGCAATCAGGCCCCAGCCCAGACGTGAGGATGAGGCGTCGACCTGCAAGTTGGTCCCAGCCCAGCCTGGAGGTTCTGGGGGTCGACCTACAGGCCGGCCCAGCCCAGCCTGGAGGCCGAAGGGATCCACATGCAGGCTGGCCCAAGCCCAACCTGGATAATGAGGGGATGAACAGGCAGGCTGACCCAGCCCAACTTGCAGGCCAAGGGGTCGAAGGGGAGGCCGGTCTCAGCACAGCCCGGAGGCTGAGGGGTCGACCTGCACAACGACCCAGCCCAACCTGGATGCTGAGGGGGTGACTGGCAGGCGGCCCCTGCCAGGCATAGAGGCTGAGGGGGTCAACCTGCAGGCCGGCCGTAGCCCAGCCTGGAGTTTCAGGGGTCAACCAGCAGGCCAGGCCCAGCCCAGCCTGGAGGCTGAGGGGGATGACCTGCAGGCCCACCCAGGCCAGCCTGGAGGATGAGGGCATCGACTGGCATAATGAGGGGGTGGACAGGCAGGTTGACCCAGCCCAGACAGCAGACTGAGGGGTTGAAGGGCAGGCCAGCTGCAGCACAGCCGGGAGGCTGAGGGGTCAACCTGCAGGCTGGCCCCAGTCCAACCTGGAGGCTGATGGGCTCGACCAGCAGGCTGGCCCAAGCCCAACAAGGAGGCTGAGGGGGTCAACCTGCCCCAGCCTAGCCTGGCGGCTGAGGGGGTTGACCTGCAGTCCGACACCAGCCCAGCCCTGGAGGCTGAGGGGTCGACCCGCAGGCCAGCCCCAGCCCTGCCTTGAGGCTGACAGGTTGACCTCCAGGCTGGCCCCAGCAAAGCCGGGAGTCTGAGGGGTTGACCAGCAGGCGGGCCCCAGTTCATCCTGGAGGGTGAGGGGTTTGACAGTCAGGCCGGCCCCAGCCCAGCCTAAAGGCTGAAGGGTCGACCTGCAGGCCCATCCCAGCCAGGCCTGGAGGATGAGGGCCTGGTCAATCTGCAGGCCCTGTCCAGCCACACCTGGAGGCTGAGGCAATCGACCTATAGGCCAGCTCCATTCCAACCTGAAGGCTGAGGGGTTCAACCGGCAGGCCCCAGTCTGGCCTGGAGGCTGAGTGGGTCTATCAGCAGGCCGGCCCCAGCCCAGCCTGGAGGCTGAGGGCGTGACCTGCCTGGCTGGGGAGGGCCTTCAGGTCAACCCCTCAGCCTCCAGGCTGGGCTGGGGCCGGCTTGTAGGTCGACTCCCTTTGCCTCCAACCTGGCTGGATACGGCCTGCAGGTCGACCCCTCAGCCTTGAGGCTGGGTTGCGGCCAGCCTGCTGGTCAAACCCCTCATCCTCCAGACTGGGCTGGGGCCAGCCTGCATGTCGACCTCCTTTGCCTCCAGCCTGGCTATGTCCAGCCTGCAGGTCGACCCCTCAGCCTCGAGGCTGGGTTGGGGCCAGCCTGCCGGTCAAACCTCTCAGCATCCAATTTGAGCTGGGGCCAGCCTTGACTCAACCTGTCAGCCTCAGGGCAGTTCTGGGTCCGGCCTACATGATGACCCCCTCAGCCTCAAGGTAGGGCTGGGTCCAATCTCAGGTCGACCCCTCAGCCTGCAGGCTGGTTTGGCGTCAGCCTGCATGTAAACCCCCTTTGCCTCCAGCCTGACTGGGTCCTGCCTGCAGGTCGACCCCTCAGCCTTGATGCTAGGCAGGGGCTGGCCTGCCGGTCAACCCCCTCAGCTTCCTGGTTGGGCTGGGCCCACCCTGCCAGTCGAACCCCTGGGTCTCCATGTTGGGCTTGGGCCAGCCTGCAGGTTGACCTCCTCAGCCTCCAGGCCTGGCTGGGAGCCAGCCTGCAGGTCCACCTCTCAGCCCCCTTTCTGGGCTGGGCCGGCCTGCCAGTTGACTCCAGCCCCCTGCGGGCTGACTGTTCAGACCTGCTGGTCGACTCCAGCCCCCTGTGGGCTGACTGGGTCTGGATTGTTGGTCAACCCCAGCCCTCTACAGGCTGAATGGTCTGGCTTCCTGGTTGACCCCAGCCCCCTGTAGCCTGACTGATCCAGCCTGCCGGTCCACCCCAGTCTCCTGCAAGCTGACTGGGTCAGACTTGCTGGTCGACCCAGCCCTCTGCAGGGTGTCTTGATGGGCCTGCTGGTCCACCCCAGCCCATGTGGTCTGTCTGGTACCGCCTGCCTGTGGACCCCAGCCCCCTGCAGTCTGACTGGTCGGACTAGCAGGTCAACCCCAGCCCCCTCCAGGTTGAATGGTCCGGCCTGCTGGTCCACCACAGCCCCCTCCAGGCTTACTGGTCCAGCCTGCTGGTCGCTCCCAGCACCCTGCAGGCTGACTGGTCTGTCCTGCAGGTTGACCCCAGCCACCTGCAGGCCCACTGATCTGGCCTGCTGGTCGACCCCAGGCCAGTTTAGTCTGACTGGTCCAGCCTGCAGATCGACCCCAGGCCCCTGCAGGCTGACTGGGTCCAGCCTGCAGGTCAACCCCAGGATGCTGCAGTCTGAATGGTCTGGCCTGCAGGTTGACCTTAGTCTACTGTAAGCTAACTGGTCCGGCCTGCCAGTCGACCCCAGCCCCTGCAGTATGACTGAGTCTGGCCTGCGGGTCGACCCCAGGCTGCTCTTGTCTGTCTGGTCTGGTCTGCAGGTCGACCCCTGCCCACTGTAGGCTTACTGTTCTGGCCTACCGGTCGACCCCAGCTCCCTGCAGGCTTGCTGGTCCAGCCGCCTGTCAACCCCAAACCGCTGCAGTCTGACTGGTCCGGCCTGCAGGTTGACCCCAGTCCCCTCCAGGCTGACTGGGTTAGCCTGCTGGTGGACCTACGCACCCTGCAGCCTGACTTGGACCACCCTACAAGTCGATCCCAGTCTCCTAAGGATGACTGGGTTGCCAGTCGACCTCAGCCCCCTCCAGGTTGACTACACAGATTGCCGGTCGACCCCAGGCCCTGCACGCTGACTGGGACTGGGCTACCGGGCGACCCCAGGCCCATCCAGCTTACTGGGTCAGCCTGCCAGTCAAACCCAACACCCTGAAGGCTGACTGGGGCACCATCAGGCTGACTGGTACAGGGCTGCAGGTCGACCCCAGCCCCCTCCAGGCTGACTGGGTCAACCTGTGGGTCGACCCCAGCCCCCTCCTGGCTGACTGGATTAGGCCTGCTGGTCGACTCCAGCCCCTGCAGGCTCACTGGGTCCAGCTTGCTGGTCGACCCTAGCCTCCTGCAGGCTGACCTGGACTGAGTTACTGGTCGACCCCAGCCCCATGCAGGCTAAATGGGTCCGGCCTGCCCGTCAACCTTTGCCCACTGCAAGCTTACTGGGTCCGGCCTATCAGTCGACCCCAGCCCCGTCCAGGCTGACTGGACCCAGGCTGTAGGTCAACCCCAGCCCCATCTAGGCTGACTGGGTCAGTCTACCAGTCGACCCCAGTCCCCTGCATGCTGAGTAGGTCCGTACCTCTGGTCCACCTCATCACCCTCCAGGCTGACAGTGTCTGGCCCTCCAGTCAACCTCAGCCCCCCACGTGCTGACTGGGTCCAAACCTCTGGTCCACCTCAGCCCCCTCCAGACTGACAGGGTTCGGCCCTCTGGTTGACCTCAGCCCCCTCTAGGCTGACTGCATCAGGCTCTCCAGTCGACCTCAGACCCCTCCATGCTGACTGGTCCAGCCCTCTGGTCTACCTCAGTCCCCTCCAGGCTGACTGGGTCCAGTGATCAGGTTGACCTCAGTCCCTCTAGGCTGATTCGGTCCGGCTCTCCGATTGACCTCAGCCTCCTGCATGCTGACTGGGTCCGGCCCTCTGATTCACCTCAGTCCCTGCCAGGCTGACTGAATCCAGTCCTCTGGTCCACCTCAGTCCCCTCCAGGCCTCCTGTGTCTGGCCTTCTAGTATATCTTGCCCCCCGCATGCTTAGTGAGTCGGGCCCTTCGTCCATCTCAGACCCCTGCAGGCTGTGTCTGGCCTTCTTGTCCACATCAAACCCCTCCAGGCTGATGGAGTCCGGCCTTGTGCTCGGCCTCAGCCCCCTGCAGACTGACTGGGTCCAACCTTCAGATTTACATGTAAGGAAGTTTCCTCTCATAAGGTGGCCGTGGAGCAGAAATAGGAGTCAAGGGAGGAAACTAGCCAAGTGACTCTGGAGACAAGTATTTCTGTCAAAGGGAACCTGGGGCGAAGGAGGGACACTTGGAGTTTGTGTGACCAGATGGCCCCGTGACTGGATGAGGTATTAGAGAGAGAAGGTAAGCGAGGCCAGAACCCACACTGGCCTCGAGGACACCCGGAGGTTCTGAGGCCGCTAGAACCACGGGCGTTGACCACAGAACGGCTTGTTCTGGTTTCTGCTCTTCAAGTAGGGCTCTGACGGCTGGGAGGAGACAGGGACCAGGGAGGAACCCAGGAGCCCACAGTCCCCATGACACGTGGTCTCCGGTGAAGGTGGCGAGAAGGGGTCGGGCTGGATCTGTTTGCAGAGCAGCACGCCCGGCTTGCTCAGGGAGTGGAAGTGGGGTGTGAAGAAGCGGGGCCGAGCAGGCTCAAGGGTTTGCTCAGCGGCAGCAAGGATGGAGCGAGCTGAGATGGAGAAGATGCGGGAGGGGCAGATTTGGAAGGAATGGCGAGGCCAGGGTGAACGAGCGTGAACGAATGAATCTTTCTCCGAGGCGCGCAACAGAAGGCCAGCCCCACGGGCAGCACCCTAACTGCCTGGTCCCCTGAAGGAAAACTCGGACAAGTTGGGGCGGCTCCTTTAAGAGGGCCCCGCCCCCTCCCGAGGCCCCGCCCCGATCGATCACGTGCCCCTGGGCGGCGCCCCAGGGGCGGGCCTCAGGGCGGTTTGAAAGCTCGGCGCGCGCGCTGGAGCGGCGGTTCGGCCGGCGCCCGGCATGGCGGCGCTGCGGCCCCTGGACAAGCTGCCCAGCTTGAACACGGCCACCATCCTGGTAGGCGCCGCGGCCCCGCCGCCCCCGCACCTCCCCTCCTTGCCTGCGTCCGGCGGCTGCGTCCTCCGCTCTGAGGCGCTCCCGGGCGCGCTACTGCCGGGTGTGGGCGGGAGAGCCGCGCTCTGAGCCAATCGGAAGAGCCCCGCTCTGAGGTTGAAGGACGCCCCCACCAATAGGTGCGCGGCGGGCTCCCCCCTGCGTTCTGATTGGTGGGCGGCTGTGGGGGCTGCGCTCCGCGCGGGACGACCCGGGCCTCTCCCGCGTGGCCGAGCGGGGCCGTGGGGACGCGGTCCCGGGGTGGGGGGGCCGGGCGGGCCCGGTCAGGGGCCCCTGCGCGCTGAGCGGGAGCGGGCCGCGGCGGCACAGCTGTCCCGGCGCCCGGCGTCGCCTTCTCTCCCGGCAGCTGGTGGGCGCCGAGGACGCGCCTCTGCAGCGGCTGGCGGACGCGATGCTCCGGGAGGACTGCGCCTCCGAGCTCAAGATGTGAGTAGCCGAGACCGGGGGTCGGGTCGCCGGGCGGAGGAGCGCGCTGGGCACGAGGTGGGGGGGCTTGGCCACCCCTGGAGTCTCCATCCCTCGCGCGGATCTGCCCTCGTCCCCCCGGCGGGTGGGCGCTGCCACCCATCCTGGGCACCTCCATCACTTTCTCCTGCACACTCTTGTTCTGCTTTCCTCCAGCACTTGTCACCGGGAGAAATTTCCTTGTTCACCTGTTTCCAGTCGGCCATCCCCTGGCCCCACGGTCCGCCTCTGGAGGGCAGTCCCTGGACTTTAGTTCACTGTGACTCCCCAGTGCCTTGAACCCTTATTTGGCACAGAGCAGCTGTTTGAACTATTCACCACCACCCCCAATTTGGACAAGGGGTGATTAAGGAAGTACAGTTTGTTTTCCTTTTGCAAACTGGTGCCCACAGGGTAGAAACAACTGTTGGAGAATCAAGTGACTGAACATGTGGGTTTCATTCTCTCTTGCTGGTAGAAAGATGAGCCCCAGGGGTCCATAGTGAAAGAGAAAGATCTAAACCTCAAGGGCACTTCTCCATGCATTTGGAAATGCCTCTCAGTGGTTAGAGGAAACCCTGGGGCAGCACTGGAAAGTATTTCTGATGAGGAAACATAATCCTTTCCCTCTAAATGGAGCTCGCTCAGAGGTCCATCTGTGCTCTACCCAGCTTGCCAGGCTCTTGGGCTACATCAAACACAATAATCAACAGCCTCAAACCCCAAGCTCAGGAAGGGGAAAGGATTAAAAATAACTAAGTTAATCAACTTAAATTACATCAGGGTAAATGGAAAATATGGCCAAAATTGCCTACATTGAACTTAAACAAGATGGAAAGAAATGTTATAAAACCACTGCCAAAAAAAAAGGACAAAGCACCTGATATCCCAAAATCTGATGAAGAACCCACTCTGGATAAAAATACAGAAATAGAAGCACGTTCCTTCCTGAGTATTTTGTGCCATCGAGAAATTTAATAACATGAATTTTTAAAAGAACCATTCAAAAACCAAATAAACCTACAGAGCTAAAGGCAAAAGGAGCTTATGATAATACCAGATAAGATATAGCTGATAAATACATAGAGGATATGAGGTTGAAAACTTACAAAGAAGAAAGATTTGGAAAAATTGCAGCAAAAGTGTTCAAAGATGTATTAGAAAAAAACTTTCCTGAAATGAGTGAAGAGTTGAATTTGTCCATTAAAAAAAAGGCTTATATATGGTCTTACTCCTTAGAATACTTTATGTCAAGTTATAACCTAGTTAAGTTACTGAATTTCAAGGGTAAATAATTCTTCAGACTTTGGGGCAGCAGAAACAAATCACCTGATAGGGACATTAGTTCCTTCTGTTGCCAAATGTTTCCAGCGCTGCCTCTGAATGGCAGAAGACTGAATGGCACTTTTTCCCCTTTTGTTTGGAGCCACATGACTATTTCTGGCCAGTGAGCAAATATGATAGTTTCTAGCTGAGCAGTTAATTGCCAGTTACAGAACCTCCTCAGTGCCCTTCCCTCTCCCATGTGAACTGCTGTTGTGATGTGGGTGTGGATGTCTTTAGGCCTGCAATTGCTTATTTTTCAGCCACTTGGCAAATTCTCTCCCGCTGCCCTCCAATGTGAATCGGCCCCGGATTGACCTGATTGTGTTCGTAATCAACCTTCACAGCAAATATAGGTGAGAGCCAGAGGATGGGCACCGCTGGGTTCAGGGGGACTGGCTAAGGCATGTGCATGATGGCTGCCTCCCTTGTGATGAGAGGAGATGGCTGCTTACGGTTGACCTGATACCAAGGTGGCAAAGCCAGTGACCAAGACACAGAAATCCTGCACTGTCGTGTGTTACTTAGCAAATGCTCTCTGAGGCCACGCCAGGTCCCTGGCAGCAACGAAATAGACCCCGTCCTCAGGGTGTTCCAAGCCCAATGCGGGAGAGACTCGGCTTTTGAACAGTGGCAGTCCCTGGGGTGTGTGCTGTAAAAGGACGCCTGGGCTGTGAGAGCCCGATGGGGCCTCCGATACCCAGGCCTACAGTCAGGGTAGACTTTCTAATGGTGCCTTCTAAGCACCTGAAAAAGGAGAAGTGAGCCGAATGTTCCAGGTGAAGGGTCCGCCTGAAGGGTGGGAGGAATACCTGTGTTTGAAGACAGCGAGGACCGCGCCGGCCAGGAGCAGTCTGCGTGAGCAGTAGCCACGGGGCACGCTGAGGCGCTGGAGAGGAGCCTGTTCCTTTTCATTAAACATCTCCGTGTACTCTCTGACCGCTTTACGAGTTAAGTCAGCTTGTAATTAATAGCAAATAAAAGATAAAAGACCAAATGTTCCTCTCGGGCCATTTCCGGTCATCCTCGCGCATGCCTCTGGGCAAAGTGTGGGGCTTCTGCCATCTCTGTTGTAAGGTTTGTCCTCTGCTTTGTCTTTGGCCCTGGCCTGGCCACCCCAGCCTGCAGAACGTGGAGGAGTCTCTGCGCCATGTGGACGCCCCCTTCTTCCTGGGGAAAGTGGTCTTCCTGGTCACAGGCGGTGAGTGCCTCCCCACCACGGCAGCCATGGCCTCCAGGCAATGGGAGGAACACTGCCTGCCCCCTGCACCCAGTGTGTCTGAATCATCCACCCCGAGGCTGAACCTCGGCTCCTCGCAGGGAGGGCCTGGCCCAGACTCATCAGACGTGCTGCCAGGGCCAGCTGCCCACCACTGCTCTGTAACACGCTGCTCCCTGTGGTGTAGACGAGGATGCTTGTGTTATTGCCGCATGTGCTCTCAAAGCCCGACTTCCCAGTGATCTGACTGCCCTGAAGAGGGGGTAGAGCAGGGTGACCACGCCAGCCGTGAGGAATCCCAGAGAGGGGGCACTTGCCTTGCCCAGCATATCCCGGGTCGTGGCCCTGGGGCCGCGGTGGCTGTCTCACACTCATGCTCCTTTGCAGCCGCGCAGGACATGCGCTGCAGCGTGCACCAGAGCACTGTGGCGAAGCTGGCCCACACCTACCGGAGTCCCCTGCTCTCCTGTGACCTGGAGGTGAGGCCCCTGGAAGGCGGGCAGTGCCAGCGGGCGGCCATAGGTGTGGGTGGGAGGAGCATCCAGCACCCAAGGAGGGTCCCTGATGTGGTCATGCAGGTGCCATCTGCACTCCTGGCCCTTCCACTGGCTCCCTGTGTCCTTGGGCACCCAAGCCTGGGGATGCACACATGAAGTGGGGTGACTGGTGCACTCGTCTTAAATGTCTCTTCCTTGCTCGGGGCTCTCACTCATTGCTTTGCCCTCTTTTTTATCTTTGCCTTGTTCTTTCTCTGCTCATAACTGAGGCCTGTGCATGTGTCTGTGGCTTCGCGCTAATACCTCCCCCTCCTGCTGGGTTGCAAGTGCCACGAGGCCCGTGTTGTCTCATCAGCCAGTGCGTCCCCATGTCCCCCGGCAGCCAGCAGCTCTTCGTCTTCCCTGGAGTGCAGACCTTGTCCAGGCCCTCCTGGGCAGGGCATTGTGGGCGGCAGGGCGCGTGGATGGACACGTTTGGTGTGGGTTCTGCCCTGACTTGCTTCTGTTGGTGTTTCTCACAAGGAGAGCCCAATTACCGGGGGAGCAAGGTAGCTTTCTCTTTTGCTGATAGCGCTTGTTCTTCAGCCTCTTTCTCCAGAATGAATCCTGCCGACTATTTGCTAGAGACCTCAGCAGGGGCCGACGTTGCTCCCTCTGGGAGATGTGCTGAGGGCTCTGGGCCTGGGCTGCCCCGCCCAGCACTGGGCCTGCTCACTTGCCTTTAGGGTCTGTTTTGCTGATTTTGACTTCATTGTGAAGATTTTGTGTTTTGGCTCTGTTGGGCTCTTGCACCTGTTCTCAAAGGCAAAGTGACGTCATGCAGAGAGAACTCGGTCAGCAGGGGGCGCTTCTCCACCTTCTGGACTGGGACTTCTTTCCTGGGGTCTGTGGACCTCACTGGCATGCGGGCAGGCTTCAGAGGATCTGTGAGCTTGAACTTTTTTCACTCACTGATAAGTGCAGTTTATCATTTGAAAACAGGCAAGAAATGTCGGTCTTCCTGGCAGAACCTGTAGAATAGCAGCTCTTCCATACTGCACCTGGTCAGAGAAGCCCCGGTACCACCTGGCACTAGTCACCGTCACACCTGCCCTCGCGCCCCCTTACGCCTTGCCGCCGACTGCCCTGTGGCCAAGGGGTGTGTCACACGTGAGGGCGCTTTAAGAACCCCCACTAGACCAACCCTCGACCTGAGGCCCGGAGCCTGGAGGGCCTGCCCCGCCAGGCTTTTCTCACGACAATCTAAGGAACCCCAGACCCAGGGAGAAGGGCAGAGAGAAAGGGCCTGTCACAGCTGCACGGCCAGTAAGTGCAGACTCAGTGGGCTGCTGAGCCTGGTCTTTCCTGGCGTAGCCTGCTGGCTGTGCGGCCTTGACTTACACACACACACACACACACACACACACACACACACACACACACACACACACACACACACACACACCCCCAGCCTCCCTTTTCTTACCTGTAGCAGGAACGTGGCGTCCTCTGCGCTGCAGCCTGTGGCCCTTTGACCTGTGCTGGGTGCAGTCCTGAGGGTGGCCGCGAGGTGGCGGGCCACACCGGGCCCCGGGGTATCATTGAGCCTGAGAATGTCCCTCAAAAAAGGCCAGGAACAGACACTTGGCTCTCCCTCCTACATCGAGGGTACCCGGAGGGTACGTGCTGCCGGGCCACCTGTGGACCGTGGACCAGAAGGCCGCCTGACGAAGACCTAACCAGCGTTCAGCTCGCGCACCTCACATTTGCCGGCACTGGCTGGGCCTGGGCCCTGGGCCAGTGTTTGCCTTGAACTAGCCCCATAGCCCCCCGACCCCCACCAGCCCTCACAAGGCCTGAGGGAGCTGTCTGTGGGTGACAGCTCCCTCTCCCTGTCCACTCCTTGTCTCCATCCATGTCCCTCAACCCACGTCAGGGGCCTGTGAGACCCGTGCCCAGGCTGGGACCAGCCCTGGGTCACATCCCGGTTCTTCAGTCACCAACTGTGACGGGCAGTTGGTGTAACCTCGCTGGCCCTGCGGCTGGGCCCTCCTTCCCCCTGGAGCAGGGGCTGGTGACTGGAGCTTATTGGAGGGCTCAGGAAGCAGCAGTGGTGGGAAGCTGCTCAGACAGGGCATGGCAGTGGTGGGTGGGCAGTGCGCTCTGTGCGGTCCCCAAGTGTCCGGCCCTCTGCACGCTGCTCCACTAGGGGAGCGGGGCTGGCGCAGCCGGTCGGCCTCAGCGCTGTCCCCTGTGCTTCCTCTGCAGACGGAGACCTTCCGCACAACCATGGCGCAGCGCCTGGTGCGCCTGCTACAGATCTGCGCTGGCCACGTGCCCGGCCTCTCGGCCCTGAGCCTGCTGTCACTGCTGAGGAGCACTGACAGCTCCCCGCCAGAGGACCTGTGACGGCCAGAGGGCCTGTGACGGCTTTTGACAGGCCCGGTCAGGCTCCCTGTGGGGCCCAAACACCGCTCCTGGCAGTGCTGGGGGTGGGAGCCCAGCTGGTGGGGAGACCCCGCTGGGGGAGCCCAGCCCCCAACTCCCACACTCCTGTCCTCACCCCTCTGACGTGTTACATCTCCACAAAGACTTCATTTAAACAAAGGGTCTGTGACTAAAAAAAGTTTGAAAATCATGGGTCTCACCCGTTTGATTTTGCAGTTGAGGAAACTGACTCAGCCATTAAGACTGGGGTGGGAAGCGCTGGGCTCGCGCTCTGGACGCTGCACCCCAGCCCTACCCTTCCTGTAGTAGCTGGTGCTGCCGCCTCTTTCCCAAAGTGTAAAATGGAGATGGTTCTGCCGACCCGAGACCCGTGAGGGCACGGGTGGTGCGGGTGAGTCTCCCACCCCGCTTGCTCTCGTGCTGGCCCAGGCCTGGCGAGTGCTCAGCGCTGTCCACACAGCTCGCTTCAAAAACGGTGGAGCCCCAAGCCTGCCCCTGAAGTCATACCTTTGCTGGAGCTAGGCCTCTGGATTGGCACCTAGACACCCTGCCGTGACCGGCTTCCTTTGTCCTCTGGGTCTAACTGGACACTTGTGGAAGGCCCCACTGGAAGCCAGAAACCCTGTCAGCCAGGTCGTGGCCATTGGGGCATCAGGAAAGTTCTAAGGCAGGCGACCAGGTCCGGCTCCCTCACCCACCTCCTGTGCCAGGGCCTGTCCCCGCCCCTCAGGACAGGCCCCAGTGCTGGGCTCCTGCTGTCACCAGAGGATGGACCGACTTGAGCTGTGGTGGGCGTGTGAGGGTAGGGCCTGCCTGTGTCCCCCCCACCGGTCCCTTCCAGGCCTGGCCCAGCGCCCACTCCTGATACCTCCGTCGGGCAGTCCCCGGGGCCCTGCCGAGAACCCCAGCTGCGTAGATTCAGGTAGCCCCACAGTCCGCAGCCTCCGCAGGCGCTTCACGCTTCAGGGAGCTCTTCGCCCCTGCCACCCCCAGCAGGCCTGTGAGGTCACCCGTGTTTCCCCATTTCACAGTAAGTGAAACCGAGACCTGTGTCCAGACTGCACGGACGGGTGGACACAGGGCAGCTCCGGCCCTTCCCACCAGTTGTTTTCTGAGGCACCTGACCCCGCACAGAGAATGGGCGTCTCCACTGCCAGGCCCTGCCCTGGGAACAGGAAGTGGCGGCTCCTAAAGTGCTGCTCCCACCGTCAAGGCTGCTGGGACCCCTAACAGTGGGGGATGCACTGGGGGTGGCGACAGGGGAGGGTGTTCCAAGGTCAAAGGAAGAGGCTGGAGGGGAGCGGTAAGACCCAGGGCATTCTCTGAGGGGGAAAGCAGACGCCTGGGAGGCCTCCTGGAAGCCAACATGGGCTCAGCCCCTCAGGAGCCCAAGCCGCAGAGGGAGGGGCTGGGGACTTGCAGTGAGCATGCTGGGGGGCTGGGCATGAGGGGGCCTCCCAGCCCCCACGAATCTCTTCCCTCGATGCCTAGCTGCCTCCCTCCCTCCCTCTCTGGCTTCACCTCCTCTCACAATAGTCTCATAATCTCACCTCAGAGTGAGGCCGCCCCTTTATCCCTCCCGCCTGGGCCACGGAGCTGCACCTATGTGAGCCCGCCTGCTCCCTGGGCCAGGTGTCCCTCATCATGGGAGGGGCAAGACCACCGGTGCCGCCCGCAGAGGCTGTGGCCGAAGGGCAGGAAAAAGCCCAAGAGCTCATTTACCCCACAGGCTGGCTGGGCCCAGGCAGGAGGGGCGGGTGGACACCCTGCCTGTCCTGGGCACGTCCCCGCGCTGAGGCAGGAGCGTCCTCCCCCCGCCCGTGGCACACTTCTCTTCTGTCCCTGTGCCACGTTTTCTTTGCCACCTGGTGCCATTTAACAAGAGCAATGGCATCACCTCCTCCAGCCAAGAATCTGGGAGCCTTCCAAGAGCTGGGGAACACGGGGCTGTCACTGCTGCCAGCTCCTGCGAGCTTGGCAGGGGCCCTGGAGCCCAGAGGCTGCCCCTGCCTCCCAGCCGAGCTGTGCCACCCCAGGTGGCAGCCCCAGCCTGCTGCCCCGTGGGGAGGGCGGCTGCTCTGTGTGCCCCAGCCTGCTGTCCAGAGGCGGCTTGACCCAGTGGGGCAGTGGAAGGCCGGTCTTCACCTCCTGGCAGTGCCTGGGTTGGTGACGGTGGGGTGCAGGGAGAGGAGAGGGGCTGTGCTCAGCTGCTCGTGATGGCAGGACCTCAGGAGCTCACTCACCTCAGCAAGCCTCGGTTTCCTCATCTGCAGAGTGGCTCGGGCGCGCGATGCCTTGCTCGCCCCACCTGTGGGCACTGAGCAGGAGCCGCTACTGCAAACAAGATCTCGCGCCATTGCAACCTCGGGCCTCGGAGGTCACCCGTGCTCACCGGCGGGGGCTGAGGGGCTGAGTGTGCAGGCGCCCCAGGCTAGCGGAGGAGAGGCCCCTCTGCCAGGCCTGTGCCCCCGATCAGAGGAAGGCTGGGGCCCGGGGGAGGTCCGGGCAGCTCTCAGAGGCTTGCTCGGGCTCTTTTGTCCCCTCAGGCCTCCCCGTTATGGGCCGCCCTGGGACCCGCATAGGGGAGCTCATGTTTTCCCCAGGAGAGGGGCTTCTGGCCCAAACTGATGGTGCTTCCCATCCCTGCCAAGAAGGCAGGACCTTCCCTGCGAGGAGGGGCACTGTCCCTGTCACCCCGTCAGCGACCGCAGCGAGGCCGGCCCAGGCTGCGGCTGAGGCGGGGCAGGCTGGCCGCAGAGGGGAAACGGTGCGGTGGGGAAGGGCCTGGCTTCCGAGCGCCACCGGCGGAGCTGTGGCCGCCCTACAGTGTGACCTGGGCCGCCTCACTTACATCCCCAGACCATGGCTGTCTCGAGGTGCCTGCGAGGCTCGGAGAAGCTCATCACCGCGGTGGACTCTGCCTGACCCCCGGGGGGGACTCGTGAGCACCTCCCCACATACCTAGCGGGGCCTACTTGGCAGGAGTCCAGCATGAAGGGGGCGCCTGCTGGCTTCGCCCCTCCCTGCAGTCCCCTTGGGCCCTGAGGCCGCAGAGTCCAGCGACTTCTCAGATCCCAGGGGTCCGAGGAGGGGCCCAGGGAGAAGTGGGCGCCCTCCCCCAAACCTGCTAGTCTCCCTGTGTGTGACTTATGAACTGGGGTCCCTGAGAACCAGCTAGCAGAGAGCTGGGAGCGCGAGGTCCCCAGCACCCTAACCTGTAGAGCAGGCAGCCTCCCTTGAGGCCACCCTCTCACCTAGGGGGAATGCCAGAGGCATTTGGGGGGCCCTTGGAACTAACCTTTGATAGTTGCCTGGTATGACTCAAAACACACCTGCAAAGCCAGACCCAGAGGGAACCCCCCACACTCGGCGCCCCTCTGCTGTGCTCAGCTGTGAGCTGGTGATGCCTGGACCTGCCCCCACGCCTGTCTGCCTGCACGAGGGGACCCCGCACGTGCCCCTGGGAGAGCTCAGGGCTGAGGGGCCCCTCCGGCTTGTCCCTTATCCTTCTGAGCTCTTTCTCCTCTTTGAAAAGTAGGGGTCTCGCTGCCTCCTCCCCCACAGGGTTGAGGCAAAGGGTGTGGGGCCGTGCGGGTCACAGGGCGGGTCAGGGGGTGAGAGGTGAGAGCCACACCGCCGGCTTTCTCGTGGCTGTGCTCTCTCTGGGCCTTGTCTGCGCCTCCCCTGACATCCTTGGGGCCCCTCGCCCCCACCCCTCTCCCCGAGGTCCCTGGGCCATGCCTGACTCCCTGGCACCCTTCCCTGAAGTCTTCTCCACAGTCTCCCGACCTGCTACCCGGCGTCACCGCGTGGCTTGGTCCCTGGCCCCCTGCCAGCTTTCCAGAGCCCAGAGCAGCACCTGGCACAGAGTAGGCCTCGCTTGTGGCTGAGTTGGCCTGTGCGCACGCGCAAACGCGCGCGCGCGCACGCGCACACACACACACACACACACACACACACACACAGGCCAAAGCCTGTGGGGGGCGGGCCTGGCTCCTCACCCTCTTGGGCCGCGTTCTGGGAAAGCAGCTCCTGGGAGGCGCCCTGCTCCCCACCTCTCCTCCCTGCTCCTTCCACCTCCTACCTGGGCAGGCCTGGCCCCGGGGTATGACCTGCCCTCGCATAGCCCAGTCCCCAGGCTCTCCTGCCCCTCTCCTGGTGCCCAAGCGTCCAAACTGCGTCCTGTCCCCAGTGAGCGCTCGCTTTCCAGCAGCGTCCTCTTCATCAGAGCCCAGCAGGCCCGGGGAGGCCGAGGGACCCGGCCCTGGGGCCTGGGCCGCTGTGACGAAACAAGGTGGCGCGAAGAGCTGAGAAGCAGTCAGGACGGCCGCGGGGACGGGGCAGGGGACAGGACGAGTCACCCCACGCGGGCCCTCCGTGGACGTCAAGGGCTGCTGCTGTGCCCGTGGCCGCGCGCGTTTAAAGCAGCACAGACGCCAGGACGAGGGGCTCCCTCGGGCGGGGCCGGGAAATGCCCGCCTCGCTCACCGCGCTGTGGGGGTGTTGGGGGCTTTGGAATGAGCACGTTCTGGAATTACTCACTAGCTAGAAATGAAACTGGTTTTTGAGCAGGGAGTGTACCTCAGAGGCTTCACACCAGAGCTGGGGAACCGGGCCCCTCTGCCCCTGGGCCTGCACCCCGCACCCGGGCCAGCCCGCCCAGGCCCCCTCCTTCCCCCACCCTGGCCAGGTGTGAGGGAGCAGCCGAGCCCGAGGGTGGGTGCACGCAGACCCCACCCAGCTCCTCCTGCAGGCTCACCTCTGCCCCCAGGCCCTGCTTCCCATCTGCCAGACGATGTCTTAGCAGTGTCTGGGTCGAGGCCTGGGGGGGCCCTGGGCAAAGAACAAGTCCCTTCTTTCCTACGCAGGAACGCATGAGGGGTGCTGCGGGGTTGTTTCCAGGAGCAGCTATTAAAAGAACAAGGAACAAGTGCGGGTCGTGGCTCCCAACTCTGCCCCCTCCCTCTCACAGCTCATAGTCAGAAAGTGATGGAGGGGCCTCCCTGGTGGCACAGGTTAAAGACCGCACTACCATGCTATTGCCAGCCTCTGCAGCACGAGTTCGATCCCCAGCCAGGGAGGTGACCCACAAGGTGCAGCAGACCTCTCCTGACTCGCCCGCTGCTCCCCTCAGCAGTGGATTTCAGTAGATCCTCCTGTTCTGCTCCCCACTCTGTCTCTGGTGAATCCTCTCAAGCCCCACACCTCTGGCCTGTACCCCAGTTCTTGTATGCATACATAAATCTTTTTTTAAAAAAAAGAATGTGATGGAGAACAGGTGAAGAAAGCAATAATGAACTTGACTTAACAGCTGTTTAAAGGGAGAGAGAGGAAGGTCATACCGGGGAGAACCCAGCATTTACCCACTGATCTAGGCTGACACATCCAACGGCCGAGTTTTCCAGAGTTTTCCAGGCAGACTCGGGCGTCTCCCCGCCCGTCTGGAAGGCTCGAGGGAGAAGGTCTATCTGGGCAGCTATGCACGACCCCAGGGTCTTTTGCTGGTGTTTGGCCCAGCCACCTGCCCCATTGGCCCGGAGGGGTCCCCAATAAACCATTTGTATTAAATGAGTAGCTCTGCCTCTCCCTCAAGATGGCTGTGACTGGGCACCCCATCCCACCCCCTCAGACTTGGGGCCCTGAGGTCCCCGCCTCTGCTCTGCAGAGTCACAGCACTCACTGTGACAGGGAGCCCTGCAAAGGTGGCTCCTGCAAGTGATCCCAGCCCCAGCCCATCTGACTACGGGGGGGGGGGGGGGGGCGGGCAGGCTCCCCACTCTGATCCCCGAAAGCTCTGCCTGAAAATCTGACGCCAGGGACAGCCAGGAGCCCAGACTGTAGGAACAGGTTCCGCGGTGCTGAGGGTCAGGGCCAAGAACAAACAACCGCCCCGCAGGGTGGGGTGTAACTCAGTCTTCCAGGCACACCTCCCTGCCCCCAGAAGGGCCTCCTCTGCCCTGGCCCCTCTCCACCCCCTCACCACACACCCACACTCGCCCACGCCCGCCACCCAGACCCACTTCTCTTTTGCAGCTGCCCCACCGCCTACACCTTCCTCCGCGGAGTTGCTGGCCCGTGGGCAGGGCATGGAGAGGGGGCGGGCCGGGGCTCCTCAAGATCAGAGATACAGGTCCTGTGAGACCCCTCCACGTCCCCCAAGCCAGAAACCTGGGGACCAGCTTTGCCCCCCCTTACTCCGTAGCCAATGGCATCACTTTCCCCTAAACAACTGCTGATGGCTCCCCCGCCCTGGCCTCGGTGCCAGTCTCGCGGCTCCACACACCTGTCCAGCCTCCAGGCCACAGCAGCCAGAGGAGAGGGCCCCTTCCAACGCGGAACGAGGCATCTCCCCAGTGCAAACTCCTCGGGGCTCCTCGCGCCCAGGCCCTGCCCCTTTCCCGTGTCCAGGCCTCTCGCTGAGCCAGTCTGGCACCGGGAAGGCTTCCCTCCCCCTGTAGCTGTCCTGCAGCTGTTGAAAGTGTTCTGCTTGCCCCAGCCCCCTAGACGTACCCCAGACAGCTCCCCAGGTTAAGTGCTTAGGGGTCTGGGATGGCCGCGTGAGGCCCCCCCAGCCCTGCCCCCAGTGAGGGGCAGCGGATGTCCAGGAAGGTAGAGGCAGCGTGTGCGCACACGCGTGTGCACACGAGCACGTGTGTCTCCATCTGGGCGACAGGTGGGGAGCAGGGCCGCGGGGGCACCACAGCCGGACCGAGGGGCGTGGCCTGGACCGGCCGGGAGAAGGAGTCAGGGCGGGCAGCAGCGGGGGCTGGGGCTGGTCTGCTCGTCTAGTCACCTGGTAGCCCGAGTCTTCCTCCTGCTGGAGCTGCGCGCTCCCGGGCTTGGCGGCGCCGACTCCCCGCCGGCCTGTGCCCTCCCTCCAGCCAGATCCTTGTTACCACGCAGGCCTGCGACTCCCCCTGCGCGGAGCCCTGCTTGCCTCGGAGCCCTGCTTGCTTCCCGGGGGCTTCAGGCCAAGTCCAAGGCCCTCAGCGCTGGGCCCGGCCCTCCCTGGCCTTCCATGGGGGCCTGGAGGCCTCTGTCCACACTCGGCCCTGCCGGGCTCCCCCAGGCCTCCTCCATCTGACAAAAGCCCCCCCATCTTCACAAAGCCTTGCCCCCCGTGTCGCCCCCTGTTATCTGCCCATCAGTCCCTCCAGTTCAACGTGGGGCGTCAGGAAGGGTCTGGCGCACTAAGCCTGGGAAGGACAGGAGGGCGCCCCGGAGGAGGAGGCAGGTGGGGTGGGGTGGGGGGCTGCGGGAAGCAGAACGACGAGGTCACCCAGAAGTGCGGGTCGGGACTGCCCCGGGCCCCGCGGAGGGCCGGCCCTGGCGTCGGGGTGACGGTTGAGTGGCCCGGGGGGGGGGGGGGGGGGGGGCCGCAGGTAGGAAGAGCCGACATGGGCGCCGCCGGGCCGCCTGAGTGGTCCCCCCGCGGCGGGAGGGAGGGCGGGGTGGCCCGAGGCCCCGCCCGGCTTCCTGCCGGGCCCGGAGCCGCCGACCCCGTCCCGCGCGCGCAGGGCGGCCGCAGCATGGGGCGCGGGCCGGGGAGCCCGCCGGGCCCCGCGCGGTGCCGGGAGCCGCAGTGCTTCGACCTGCTGGTCCGCGGCTGCGTGAGCTGCAGCCTCCTCCGGACGCCGCCGCCCCGACCCGGTAAGAGCCGAGCGGACCCCGCGCCCCGGGCGCCCTGGGGGCGGGGGGGGGCGGCCCGCCCTGCCCCGCCGCGGGGGGGGGCGATCGCCGCGCGGCCCCCACCGACCCCGGCGCCCCGCGCCCCCCCCGCCCGCGCCCCTCCCGGCCCAGCCTCGCCCCCCGCCGCCCCGCCCGCGCCCCGGCCCTCGCCGCCGGCGCCGCCTGCCCGCGCTCCCGCCCCCTCCGCCCGCAGCCGGCGCGAGCCCGCAGACGCCCTGGACGGCGCCGCAGCCGCTGGAGTCGGGGGGCCCGGGCGCCGCGGGGGCCGAGCTGCCGCTGCCGCTGCCCGCGCTGCTCTTCGGCGCCCCCGCGGGGCTGGGCCTGGCGCTGGCCCTGGCGCTGCTGGCGCTGCTGGGCTGGCGCTGGCGGCGGCGCCCGGGCCGCGCGGCCCCCGCGGCCTCCCCCGAGGCGCCGGACGCGCCGCTGGACGGTAAGACCCGTCGGGGCCCGGGGGAGGGGGGGGGCAAGGGGAGGCGGCCGGCGCGGGGCTCCGGGGGCGGGGCCGGCGGGGGGGGCGGCCCCTGGGTCTCCCCGCGAGCAGGCGCGGGGTCCTGCTGCCCTGGCCTCCCGCGCCCAGGGCCAAGCCCCTCCCGCACCCCCTCCCCACCCCGGCCCAGGGCTTCTAGTGGGAGACTGAGGTCGAGGTGGGGGCCCCAGAGCTGGGGTGGCAGAGGCTGTGGGTTAGTCCTGAGCCTCCGTCTCACCCCACCCCAGAGCCCCTGGACGACATCCTGGTCATCCCCCCGGGACCCCTGGACGCCTCAGCTCCCATCTGGCCCCCACCCAGGGGCGACCCAGCCCCCACCCCGCCGGCCCACAGCGTCCCCGTGCCAGCCACAGAGCTGGGCTCCACCGAGCTGGTGACCACCAAGACGGCCGGCCCTGAGCCGCAGTAGGGCCAAGGGCAGAGCCAGAGCCGGGAGGCTGATTCGGCTCTGCCCTCTGCGCTCACTTGCCCCCTTCTGGAAGCCGAGCTGCTCCCCACCTCAGCCTGCAGAACCACAGATACCACAGACCACAGAGGTCAGCTGGCACGGCTCCGGAGGCTTCTCCGCGGCTGGCTGCCAACTGTGCCCTCTTGGGCAGCCCTCGGAGGCTGGGGCTGAACCCCTGTGCTGCTGAGGGCTGGGCGCGAGCAGGGTGGGGAAGCCACTCTCAAAGCAGAATAAGCTCAGGAAACAGATCAGGTGGGAGGAAGCTTGACTGGTGGCTGGAGGCGTGCTTCTGTAACACTTGCTCTCGGCCGCCCGCCCCTCACCTCCTGCCCGCAGCAGCCCAGTCACCACTGGGTGGGTTCGCTTTGGGAGTAGGTCACCATGACTTCCCGGAAGAGCCTGGACTGTGTTGATTCTCAGGTGACTGCACCCCAGGGGCCAACCCTGAGCGTGGCACCGATACTAAGAGGCCATTTTCACCCTGGTGGCCACTTCCAGAGCCTCGGCTGGCTGGGGGAGGAAGTCCACAGCTGCTGGGGCTGGGCTGCAGCCCCCCTGCAGGCCATTGCCGGTGACCACATGGGGTCCCAGCTGCTTGCAAGGCACACACGGCTGTCCACAGGGTCGGGCCCAGGACCTGCAGGGCATCCCTGTGCAGAGGCCTGCAGCCTGGACGCAGCTGAATCGGATGATCCTGGAGCTCCCTTTTCTGGGCCCTGAGTGCTGGGGTTCCTCGGCTACTCTGTGCCAGCACCCGGGGTCACCCCCCGCCCCAGTGAGACTGCTTCTCTGACCACGGTGCCTCTCGCACCCAGCGTGACCTGGGAGCGAGCCCACCTCTTCCACTGTGGATCCCACTGTGCACCAGCTGCCTCTCCTCACAGCCTGCGCAGGACGGAAACTCCGAACCCAGGCTCTGCCCGGGAGAGCATCCTTGGAACTTGGAAGGCGCACTGGGCTGGGAGTCAGAAGACGTGGTTCCGGGTGCCATTTTGTTCCCCTCCAGGACTCCGCTGTGATCTATTCCACACCTCAGACGCCTTCTGCCTCCCTCCCCCTGACGTGCGGGTCAGAGCTGCTCGCCACTCCCAGCTCAGAGGAGAGCCTTCTCCAGCCTCCCTGCTCAGAAGCAGCTGCAGCCCCCAGGACCCTGACACTCACTCCAAGTCTCCCCAGCCACTCCCTCCCTGACCCCGCCCCTCCCTGTCCCACCCACAGCACCAAGGGGCTCTGGTGAGGTCAGCTGGCGGCAGTAGACGCCTGTCCTGAAAGGCCTGGATCCTCTATTCCCTTTCATTTTAGTTTGGGGGAGTCTGAGCTGTGACCAGCCACCCCTTCTTTCCTGCCATAGCCAGGAGCTGGGCCCTGGTGATGAAATGAGTGGGTGAAACTCCTCTGGGGCCCAGACATGCAAACCTCTGGGGCCACTGTGTCCCTGCGGAGTCCCTGGCTGCTGTGCAGCTTCCCCCGTCTGGTTCCTTTGCTGAAGCGAGCAGTGCTGGACGCAGAGTTCTCGTGGACAGTGGCCCTCAGAGGGGAGCTTGAAGGAAATGTAGAGAATCCTCGCCCCTCCTCCAATTCACAGATGAGGAAACTGAGGCCCAGAGAAGGCCTCAGTTGGCATCGCCGTCACCCAGCAAAAAACAGAAGGGAAGTTCCTTGGGGAGGAGCCAAGAACAGAAGGCAGAGGAGAGCTGGGCGAGCAGGGGTCAGTCTCCCCCAGCCCCCCAGAAGGGCCCAGGCAGTAAGAGGCCAGCCCACTGTCCTGGGCATTGCTGTCCACAGAGCCTCATCAGATCTTCCTAAGAGTGCCCGAGGAGGGACGTGGAGGTCATGTTTGTTTTAAAAAAGTTTTATTCAGTAAATCAGGGAGCCTCATCTTGACACTTTGACGGCGCAGGACAGCCACCCAGGATGGGGCTTGTGGCGAAACCTCCCCTCAACCCGCCACGCCAGCGAGGGTGGGTCTTTCTCCAGCATTTTAATCACTCTAGACATGGACTCGTAGCCTGACCAGCATCTCTGGTGTGTTTTCCCATCTTTGAACACCTCACCAGCAAAGTTTTCCACATTTGGCTGTTTGTGGGTTTTACTACTATGACTGACAGAGCACCCGGAGTGTGGCCACCGAAGGCCTTGACCTGGTGGCCTAGGGGGGACGTCTCAGCGCTCTCACCTGAGTTTGATAGGGCGCAGCCGACCTCGCCTGTCTCCCCGCTGCTCCCCTCTGCAGTGGATTTCAGCGGCTTCACCTGTTCTGTTCCCCACTCTGTCTCTGGAGAATCCTCTCCCCCCCGCCTCCCGCACCTCTGGACTGCACCCCAGCTCTTGTATGCATAAATAATAAAAATAAATCTTTAAAATAAATAAATAAAAGTGCCCTGTTGGCTGAACCGCTTGCCTGGAAATCCGAGCCTGTTTTGTCCACGAGCGGGGAGAGCATGTCCCATTTTGCAGGTAGGAAAAGAGAGGCCCGACCCGATGAAGGGACCAGGCCCACAAAAAGCTATTCGTGGTGGAGCTGGGCCAGACCCAGGCGCGCACCCTGTCCCCTCTGTCCGGCAGGAGGTCACGGGCTGACTGCAGGCTCGATTCCGGACTCTGCTTGCTGTCAAGATGTCGCTCCCCACTTGGGTCTTTGTGCACTAAAGAGGCTCCACACTAGATTCTGAGCAGCGGCTTGTTCCGGGGCGGGGGGGGGGGGGGGGGTCGTCTGAAGGCAACCGTCCCCTCCCCCAAGCCTGTGTTTCTGGCCAGTTTTCCCTGAAGGAGGGTCTGGTTTCCCCGTCCCCTGGGCCTGACAGGTGGGGGCGGGGCGGGCTGAAGTCTCAGTTCCTCCTAGGCCTTCCTGCAGGCGCCTTTCACTTCCTGCTGGGCAGCCCAGCTCCTTCTTAGAGTGGGGGCTGGGGAGGCCCAGCTGGTGAGGCCCAGGGTGGGAGGAAGGACCTGACCCCTTCTCTCCCATCCCTCGGCGAGGATGGCGCCTCCCGGCCCTTGCCTGCGGAAACTGGCGCATCCCCCTGGCCCGGGCTCCCACCTTGAACACGGAGCCTGAGAGCCAGTCCTGGCACAAGGTGATGGCGCCAGCGGGGTCTCAGGCAGGCGTGCCTCCACCGCCTTTCCCGGGACAGCCACTTCCCGTCCAGAGTCCCCCTCAGAAAATCCCACGGGCAGTGAGTTTCCCAGCGCTGGCTGCTCCCACCCCCCACTCAGCCCCGCGGGTCTCACCCTGCCAGGGGCTGCCCAAGGGAGTGCTTGGGGGAGGAGCAGAGGCTGCTTTCCTGCTGAAGTGGAGGAGACCCGCTTCCCGGCCGAGGGAGCCCGAGCAGATGCACAGAGAAGGTGGGCACCGGGGCCTCTGAGTGCCCGACCAGACTGTGTTGCCACTGGCCCCCAGCACTCAGGGGCCCCCACCTTGGGCGTCTCCCCCTTCTCTGGCTCCCTCCGAGGGGCCGCCAGACCCCCTCGGGGCTCCTCTGGGACTGGGTGGAGGCTCACTTCCAAGTGCTTCCTGTGGGTGCTTCAGGCCAAATTCTTCCTCCGTGGCAGCGGAAATCTGCCCCTCTGCAGCCCGTGCCTGCTCCCCAGCTGCCCGGTCCTGGCCTGGGTGGGCAGTGGGGGGAGGCACTACGGCCGGGGTCACGAGGAGGGCCGAGGTAAGCCAGGAGGACACAGACGCCCATGCTCCCGGCTTAGTGTTTCCTGGGGGCTCTGATGGAGCGGCCGCTGCGAGAGGGGGCCCCAGGGGTGCTGGGGCCCCGCATCTCCTCACCGCCCTGGGCTGTAGAGAGGAGAGCGGCTGGACACCAGCCCCAGGCGCCCTGCCTAGATCCAGGACCGAGCCTGCCACTCCAGAACGGGCGACAGTGCAGCTGGTGTCGGGGCGGGGCCTGGCCGAGGGGTCCCCAGGAACGCCGCCTGGCGGGGAGGCGGGGAGGGGAGGGGCCGGGGAGGGCAGCGGCGTGGGTTCAAGGCCGGCAGGCGGGGAAAGAGGAGAGCCCCGGGGAGGGGGGTTCTCCCTGGCGCCGAACTGGACCTCCACGCTAGGTCACGTGGGTCCGGGTCCCTTCACCAGCATGTGGGGGCCCGGATGCCAGCCATGAACCCCACTTTGGGGCCGGGTATGGACTCCTGGGCTCGGAACTGAGCTCGGGGTTGTCCCAGGAACTCGCAGCAGGGAGACGTGGGACACGCCCCTTGGCCTCGCTCTCGGTTCCTCCGCTTGGGCTTTGAGATCTGGGGGCCTTTGGAGGGCCCCGAAGGGGGAGACTAGCACGGGCGAGCCAGAGGGGTGGCTTAGTTGTGCCGTCTGGAGCAGGACTCCCTGAGCCAGGGAGAGGGTGCGTGGGGGAACTGGGACAGGAGGCTGAGCCCCAGTGCCCCCCCAACTCGCCGCTCCCTGGCGACCTCAGGAGCCCGGGCACCCCCTCCCTCCCACAGGCAGCTGAAGCCTGAGTCACTGGAGGCCTCGGGGAGACAGAGGAGCCGCAGGCCCTCCCCTCCAGCTCCCCTCCCGGGACTGGCGGGCATCTGAGCTAGCAGGGAGTCCAGAGGGCTCTAGAATCTGCTTCTGGGGTAACCCCCTGCCGGGGAGGACAAGGAACTTGGGGAGGACTTGGCGCGTTCACAGCTGGCAGCCCCCGAGCTCTGGAGCTGGCTGCGGCGGGAGCTGTGTACCTGGGTGCCGGAGTTGCTCGCGGCCGTCTCGCAGGTGAGAAGAGCCAGGCCTCCGCGGTTGGCTGGCCCCGCGAGAGCAGGACGCCCACCCACTGACGCTTCCTCTGAAGCGATGTGCCAGCACGTGTGAGAGTGCCCAGCGAGTGTGAGGGGCTGCAAAGGCCTCCCACGAGGGAACAGTCCGGGAGGCCGAGGGGCAGGCATTGGGGTACCCTCGGGGTGTAGGCGCTTCCCTGGCGGGGGGCTGGCCTCCTCCAACTGCGCTGGCCAGAGGCAGTGTGGAGTGCAGGGGCGGCTCACAGGGGCAGGTTGCAGGCCGGACCCTGGCGCTTCCTGGCCGTGTGCCCGTTACAGCAGCAGACACTTCCTCTCTGGGTCTTGGGTTTCTTTCTAGGAAATGCCCAATCCCTGGCTCGGGGCTAGGGAGACCGGTCACCCCTCACAGCAAATGGGGACCCTGAGGGCCAGCACGGGCTTCCCTAATGTCCGCCACCTCCGAGGACCCTGAGCGTTGGCACACCCGGGGCTGGCCACCAGGCAAGGACTCAACAGTGCGGGAAGAACATGCGAGCGCAGCACAGCCGCACTGACACGCGTGTGTGCACACATGCCCGGAGCGGGGCAGGCCCGCACACTCTGCCCCACACCTGCACACTCGCTCACACGCGTGAGTGCACTCACACACCCGCACGCTCGAGCTGCCAGCGCTGGGAGCGGGGGGCGGGGCGGGTGCCCTTCAGACGCAGAGACTCGACTCCTTTGCCCGCCCCGTGGGGCTCGCTGCAGATGCCAGGGGTTATTTTAAGCCTGGATCAATGGACGATTTTTGGTGACACAGGCTGGAGGGGGCGGTGTGCAGAGGAGACAGGGGCCGCTGCCCTGGTGCCTGGCTGTGGAAGGAGACCCCAGGGCTCGGGGCGGGCAGCCTGGGCAAGGGGTCACGCCTCAGCTGGGCTGCTCTGTCTCGTCCCCTTGCCCAGCACCTGACTGGGTGTCCGGGGGGTAGTGTGGGTTCAGTGGATGGTCAGATCCCAGGGCTCAGCCAGCCCGTGTGCTCTGTTTTGCATGTGCCCTCGCCTGTGCCCCCTCCTCACCGCCATCTGGAGGGGGCACTGACCTGGCATGCACCTGGCCGTGTGCTCAGAGGAGCTGGGGGGTGGACGTCAGTCTCAGAGGGGGGACGGAACTCAGCTCTGTCGCTGGGCTGGGCTGGGATGGGGGTTATGGAGATGGAGCTGGAAGTGAACAGTGCCAGGAGGGGGGACAGGAGAGGGGCCCAGTTTGGAGGGTCTTGACTCGAGGGGTCAGGGGAGAGCGTGGGGAGACTTGCTCTGGACCCAGTGGAGTGACCCCAGGAGGGAGGAGCAGGCCCCACTGGGGGGGGGTAGAGACAAGCATCTGTAAACCTTGTGCCCAGCAGGGGGTGGGGAGGGGGACAGAAGGGACCCCTGGCAGGGCCACAGGCTCCCCTTCCAGGATGTCCCCTGGGGAAGCAGAGAGCGGCGCCAGGAGCACAGCGACACGGCTCTAAGCAGAACAACCAGCTGAATGTTTGACGGCACAAAGTCAATAAAAACCAGTTTCAAAACAGTGTCTCCCCCCCACACCCGGGTCCCGGCTGCCGGGATTCAGGCCATTTCCTTTCCTTCCTCTGATCATCCACGACTATTTTCCCTGGAAAATTATAATGAAGTATTTGATGGGGTGAGGCGCTTCCAGCCGGTCAGGCAGTGTGTTTGCGGCTGGGCGGGCGTGGGGGGTGGGGAGTTGGGGGCCGGGGCAGAGGCTGTCTTTAGCCAGGACAACCACCTGCAGGAAGAAGCCAGGTTAGGGCCGTCACCCCTCCCCGGTGCAGCTCACCCCTGAAGTGGGCCGGCCAGCCCCCCACCTGCGACACAAGGACTTGATCCTCCTTAAAAAACGTGCATCCTCTCCCTCTCCCCCACCCCTCCATTTTCATCTGCTGACACCCGTGTCTGAGTGAAGGGAAGATGCGGGAAGGACCCCAGGAGCCCAAAGTTTTCATCGTGCAGAGACCGGAGGCCAGAGGCACTTCACCCACTCGGCGGGTGTCTGCGGCGGCCGGGGTGTTGGGTGCCCAGGCCCAGCGGGCCTGCTTTCCCCGCGGGACACTCGGGTCTCCAGCGACCCCTGCCTCCCGGAGGGGGCTGAGGGCGAATCTGCTCCCCAGGAAGAGTTTCTGATGTGAAGATGAGAAACTGAGGCAGAGCAAAGCAAGGCGCTGGGACTTGGTCGGTCACATTGTCCAGTTCAACTTCCCTTTGAAATAGGCCGGCGCTGCGCTCCAGGCCGAGCCCCGACCCTGCAGGGCCCCGCACCCCGCTTCTGGCTGGGTTTGGAGAAAGCACCAGATGGGCCCTGGGTGGGGAGGGGCCTCCACTGTCCGCGCCCCGACCGGCCCCGGCCTTCCCAGTCCAGGGTTCCATCTGCTCCCCTCACCCCTAGGCGGAGAGACCCCCGGAGGCCATGCCCAGGTCCGCGGGGTCACCCCAGAATCCCACGTCCTGGAGGTCCTGGGACCAGGATTCGCCCCCGGAGGCGCGCGCAGCCACCCGCCCCTGCAGCTGCTCCGCGCGACGGCTCGTCCCATTGCCCAGGCCGGAGAGTCGAGGCGCCGAGGGGGCCGGGGCCGCGCGGGTCACCTCCTTGGAGCGGAGCCGCCGCCCCGTCTCCGGGCCGCGCGGTCCCCGGTCCCCGCACCTGCCAAGGCGGCGCGCCCGAGGTCCACGAAGCGGTCCCGAGGGCCCCGGGCCGACCCGCTGGGGCTCCCGGTTCCGAGGGCTGTTTGGGGGCGTCCTCGCGAGGGTCCCGTGGGGGCGCCCGGGCGGTGGCGCCCCGCGCGCCCCTCCCTGCCTCGCGGCGGCCGCGCTCCTCCCCCGGCGCTGCCTCCTCCCTCGCTCGCCGCTCGCTCCCGCCCTCCCGCCGCCGAGCCCGCGCGGAGCCGGAGCCGGAGCCGGAGCCGCAGCCAGAGCGCGGGCAGCGCCGAGCGGGCGGCGGGAAGGTGCGGAGTCGGGCGCCCGCCGCCCCCCGAGGCCCGGACCCGCGCGCCCGCCGGGCCGGGGAGAGGCCGGGGTCCCGCGCAGGCGAGGACCCGCCGCCCGGCCCGGGGGCGTCCCCGGCGCGGCCCGGCCGGCTCGGGTCCGAGGGGAGCCCCGCGGAGGACGCGCCCCCGGGAGGGCGGCCCCGGGGCTCCGGGCCGAGCCCGCCAGGGCCCGCGGGCCCCGCCGACGCGACCGCGGAGGAGGCGCCGGGAGGGGCCCGCGCCCGGGCGGCGGGACAGCGCGGCCGCCGAGGAGCCGCCCGGAGGCCGAGCGCGGGAGCCGCGGCCGCGCCATGCGCCGCGCGCCGTAGCCGCAGGCGAGGCCCGATGGCGCGGGCCGGGGCGCAGGGGCTGCGGCTCGCGCTGGGGCTGGCGCTGCTGCTGGCGCGGCCGCCGTCGGGCCAGGCGGGCGCCCCCGAGGCGCAGGAGCCCGCGGCGCCCGGCACGGCGGCCCCCGCGGGGGGCGACCGCTGCCGCGGCTACTACGACGTGATGGGCCAGTGGGACCCGCCCTTCAACTGCAGCTCCGGCGCCTACAGCTTCTGCTGCGGCACGTGCGGCTACCGCTTCTGCTGCCACGACGGGCCGCGGCGCCTCGACCAGAGCCGCTGCTCCAACTACGACACGCCGGCCTGGGTGCAGACCGGCCGCCCGCCCGCGCGCGCGCGCGACCCCGCCGCGCCCCGGGACCCGGCCCGCGAGCGCAGCCACACGGCCGTCTACGCGGTGTGCGGCGTCGCGGCGCTGCTGGTGCTGGCGGGCATCGGGGCGCGCCTGGGCCTGGAGAGGGCGCACAGCCCCCGCGCGCGGCGCGCCGTGACCAGGTGAGCGCGCCCGCCCCCGCCCGCCCCCGGCCCGGGCGCCCCTCGGCACCCCCATCCTCGCGTCCCCCTCAAGCTCGGGCCTCTCGGCAGCCCCCTCCCCGGGTGTCTCCTCCCACCCCCTCCGCCCCAGGGAGGCGCTGACTGGCCTGTCGCCCCGCGTCCTTCCCCCTGAGCGGGGCGCCCTCCCCGAGGCTCCAGCCCGCGCCTCCTGCGCAGCGGCCCGGGAGGCTGGTCGCGGGGCAGAGGGCACCGGGCTGCGCCCGTGGGTTGGCACCCCCGCCCCGGGCCTGGCCGGGCCCCATTTTCTTGGGGTGGGGGGTGGACCGATGAGTGCTGGGGGCCGCGGCCGCGGGGAAGGGGTTTTTCCGTCTCTGCACTTTCTCCCCGGCTGCTCCCCCTCCCTCCTCCGCTCTCCCCAAGGCTGTGACTCAGGCCTGACCTTCCCTGGGGTGTCAGAGGCCTGGACATTCACCCTGCTCTACGCTCCCCGCTGCCGGGCTACGGTCCTGGGCTCCCCTCCCGCCTAGAGTGAATTTCAGGGGCTCCGATGCCGATGCCGGTGCTGGGGCCGTGCCCGCTGGCGGGGGCTGTGCTCTGTGTGAGCCGGGGCCACCAGACCCAGGTTCCCGTCCTCTGGGATCCTGGGTCCTGACTTCCCCCACACCCTATACTCACACACTCGCATGCCCCGGTGGTCACCCCCATGTCCTGGGGCCTGCACCCTCGTTACTCACCCAGGCCCCAGCTCCCCCGGACGTTGGGCAGCCACGGGAGGGTACTTAGAAGTGATGACAGAGAGAAGGCCGCCTGCCCCCATGGGCGTGTGGGTGCTCCCTGCCCCTAGACCTCAGGACAGCCCCCCTCGCCCCAGACCACTCATGCACCCCTGCTAGACCGCTGTGGGTCGGGGCTGGGGCTGGGCTTACTGTGCTGCCTGCAAGATGTGGGTGCGCTCAGCCTGGGTCCTGGGTGCAGCAGAGGCAGGACCTGGGCTCCCCGAGCTTGAAGACGCTCGTGCTGAGGGGACAGGTGTGTCCTTGGCCAGGGCAGGGCAGCAGAAGCTGAGGGCTATGAGCGTGGGGGGGCAGGGCACTCTGGTGATGTGTTTATCTAGAGCTGCTTGGGGCGGGGGTGGGGGACAGTGGGCCGGTTATGCTGCGGGAGAGCCCCCCCACCCCGCTGTGGGCCTGCCGTGGGCCTGGTCAGTCCCTGTCCCTCTTGGGCTGCGGCTCCCGTGTGCCCCGGCTCCCTTCTCTCTGGGGTGATCTGGGGCCTGACTGGAGCTCATCTGTAGGTGTGTTCTGATCGCTGCCTTCCCCCCCAGTGTCAGCCTCAGTTCTGCCATGTTGGGTTGGTGGCCAGGGAAGGTTCTCAGTGGCCAGGGAAGGCTCTCAGTGGCCAGGGAAGGCTCTCAGTGGGCTCGGCGGGGGAGCTGAAATCTGCCCCCGGTGAGATGTGTGCAAAGGTTAGAGGCATGAGAAGTACTCAGGGGAGAGCTGGCTGGCGGGCGCCTGCCAGAGTTGAGAGTGCTGGGGTGGGCAGCGAGGCTGGCAGGTGTGGAGGTCAGCGAGGACAGGCTGGGGCACCAGGAGGCCTTCAGGCCCTTCCACCCCAGGTACCCCACACCACGGTGCTCCTTCATGAAGCAGTCATTTGAGGTCCCAGCCCCAGAAGGAGGGTCCGACCGTGTAGGAGAAAATCATGGGTTCTGGGTGCCGAAGGCAGCTGGGCGGCAGGCTGGGCCTGACTGTCTGCAGGGAAGGCTCAGTCAGACGCTGTCACAGCTGGGTGGGGGCTGGGTGTTCAGTATCCAGAGCAGCAACTGCCCAAGGTCACACGGCCTGTGGAGTTGGGCTGCGGGGGTGGAGGGTCTCCTGGCTCCCACCCTCCCTCATCTGTCTGTCCTCACGTCCGTGCTGGCAGGTGTGTCCCAGCGCAGAGAAGCCCCGACTGCAGGAGGGGAGTTAGTGGGCAGATCAGGGCTTCCTGGAGGAGGGATTCTAGGGAGTTTGGAGAACGTGTAGGAGTTTGACAGAAGGGCACAGAGGAAAGGACACGGTGGGCAGAGAGAGCAGGACCAGCGAGGCCCAGGAGCCCAATCCACGCAGAGCTAGGGCTGGGAGAGGAGGCTCGGGAGCATGACCTCCAGAGGGAAGGGGGAGCCTTTGGAAGACAAGGTTACCCCTGCTTTGGGAAGGGGCCCTGCCGGAGTCACAGGTCATGCCTGGCGGGAAAACCAGACATATGAGGCCGATCGCAGGAGAGAAGGGAGGCCCAGGGAGGTTGGGGGAGCTGCCCCGGCCCTCGGTGAGGCAGTGGTGGTCAAGGCTGGTCTCCAAGCTGGCTGATGGGGATGCAGAAGGCTGGGAGGGTGGCTTCTCACCACTCACTCCCACAGGACACTGACCGAACTGCTGAAACAGCCAGGCCCCCAGGAACCACTGCCTCCACCTCTGGGCCCACCGCTGGGCAGCTGTGTCCAGGTGCAGATGGGTGACGGGCTCCCCGGGGGGTCCCCCCACAACAGTTCAGGTGAGTAGGCTGAGGCTTTGGTCTAGGGCACAGGGCACCCCTCACTGGATGTAAGCCTGGGAGCATGTAAAGGGGTGTGCTGGGGGTTAAGAGGTCCTGGGCTGGCTACTCCCCAGTGGAAATGATCTGGCTGCTTCTCAGGTAGGTGTGAGTGGGGGCTGGGAAAGCTATCAGCTCCCCTGGTAGAGAGGGCTGGGGCTGGGATTCCACACTCTGTGCCCTGGGATCTGCCTGGCCTTTGTGGGTCTTTTCCTCCAGGCCCAGGCCTCCCCCCGGGGGCTCTATTCCTCAGATTTGCTGTCCGTTTCCATGGGGACAGTCCTAGGACTCTGCACCTGGCTCAAGCCTAACCTGCGGGCCCATCATCCACTAGGTTAGGCCCACGCAGGGCTACGCCACTGTTGACCTTCTGAGCCAGGCCCAGCTCCGGGCCCTGGCGAGGCAGCAGCTCGGAGCGCAGGTGCAGAGCGGGCCTGGGCCGCCAGCCCCGACTCATCTTACTTCCCACCTCCCAGATAAGAAACGCCCCAACCACGCACCTCTGGGGTCAGCCGCTTCGGGGCCACTCCGCGGCCCCCGGCTGCAGGGCGGAGGCAGCTTGACGCTGCAGCCTGACTACGCCAAGTTCGCCACCCTCAAGGCCGCCGCGCTCACCCTCAAGGCCGCAGGTGAGTGGCGGGGCTTGCGCCGGAGGCACCCCGGGGGGCCAGACGCCGTGACTGCGAGGCTCGAGGCTCGGGTCCCAGTTCAGATTTCCAAGGTTCCCAGCCCTGCAGGTTAGCCCTGCGGCCAGCCTGCCGCCCCCACCGCGAGCCCCCGGCCCGGCTCCCGGGCTGTGCCCCACCCCCTGGCCGGGCCGCGGGGGCACCGGAGCCCCGCCCGCCCCGCCCCGCCCACCGCGAGCCCCGCCCCGGCTAAGCCCCGCCCCACGAGCCCCGCCCCGGCTGACCCCGCCCCGCCCCCCACCACGAGCCCCGCCCCGGCTGACCGCGCCCCGCCCCGCCCCGCAGACGCCCGCCCGCCCGACTTCTACCCGCGTTTCCCCGCGGCCGAGCCGGCGCCGCTGGCCCTCCCGGCGCGGCCCCCGCAGGACTTGCCGGTGCTGCTGGACGCCTGCCCCTGGGCCCCGCCGGGCTACGCGCCCCCCGCCGGCCCCGCGCCGTCGGGCCACTACAGCGCCTGGACGGCCGGCCGCGCGCCCCGCGCCGCCCCCCGCGGCCCCCCCGCGGCGCCCGCCTCCCCCGCGCCCCGGCGGCCCGGCCGCGCGCCCCGGCGCCAGTTCAGCGCCGAGAAGCTGCCCGACGCCTTCGGCCCCCGGCCCCCGGCCGCCACGGCAGCGCGGGCCGCGGGCCCCGGCACCTGAGCACGAACAGCAAAGCCGAGGTCACCGTGTGAAGACCGGCCGCGGGCGCTCCGGGCCGCGCTTCCCGGGGCCCTCGCTGCCTGCCGGGGCCGCCGTCCCTCCGCGCCGGGCAGCAGCCGGGGAGAGGCGGGGCGGCCGGCCGCAGGCCAGCCCTCCCACCTGCCCAAACCGCACCGGGGCCCTGGGGCCTGCAGGGGTCCTGAGTCAGGCCCGCGGCTGCGTCCTTGGGGCCCACGGCCGGGTTCCCCGTGTAAATAAACCCTCCGCTGTGGCTCCCATCCCTGAGAATAAAGGAGCCCCAGATTGGCCGAGGGGCTGCTGGTGGAGCATTGGTCATTGACTGGACATACGGCGGTGCGGGCAGAGGGCACAGCGTGTGCAGGGCTGCCGAGCTGGCTGGCATGCCACGGGAACCAGGGACAAGTGGCTGGCGAAGGTGGTCAGGGCTGAATGCCAGCTTTAATGTTCCCGCCAGTGGGAGGCACGGTGGAGGGGCCAGTTAGTCCCCAACATCTTGAGGCTCAGCACAGGGGGAGGGCTGTTGGGAGCACCCATGCCCCTTGCTGGGGGTGAGCCCCCTCCAGCCAGGCAGCCACTCTGCAGCTTGAGTTGGCCGAGCCCGGCAGCTCCTCTTTGACAGTCTGGCCCTGGGCCGGCCCCTGGCCTGCAGGCCACTTGGCAGGCTTGGCCCAGAGCCACCCCCCTAATGAGTGCGGGCAGTGCGCCGGTGGACAGCTGGTGCTCGGAATGGAAGTGCCTCCTCCCAGGCACTGCTGGGGTGGGGGAGCGGGAAGGGGATGCTGGACCCGGAGCCTGGGCCACGCCCCACCCGGGTGCTCACACCACACACCGTGGACTGTCCACTTCCCCCTTCCTGCCGGGCAGGCTCCCATCCCTGGCTGCGGCCCAGGGCACGCCAGCAGCCTGCGTGCCTCCAGTGTCTCTGCCAGTTACTACTGGGGGCTGAAGGTAGGATCCAGCCCCACGTTGCATCACCTCTTTATGCTCACGCCAGCTGGGCCTCAGTTTCCCTCGCTGTGTCCGAGGCATGGTGTAGTCTTCGTGACAGTGGCCACCATGGTGCCCTTTCACTTAATCCCCCCGAAGCCCTGTGGGTGTGGCCTCTGGAGGAGGAAACAGTTTGGAGACCCAAGTGATGGGTTCAGGTGACCCAGCGGCCCAGTTTAGGACTGTCCCTTCTGCTGCCCTGGGAAGCCGATGGCAGACTGGCAGCCAGTGGGCGGCGTGGGGGGCAGGTTCTGAACCTGTGTTGGCAGGGAGGGGCCAGCAAACCCACAGCTGTCCGAAGGTCCACCTTGCTGTCTCTAGGCTGTGAAGGGAGCCTTAAGGCCCAGAAGCTTCAAGCAAGAACAGTCCATCGCCCTTGGCCCCCCTATGGCTTGTAGGGGAGACAGCCTTCACATCCTCAACCCAGGGTGGGGGTGGGGTGCCCCTGGGCCTATCTGCCAGCTGTGTAGAGTCGGGGGAGGAGGGTGGGTGCTGAGTCATGGAGCCTGCGGAGAGTCACAAAAGGATTGAGTTCCTGGGCTCATCGGCCACCCACAGCCACCCACCTACCACCCTGGTGACGCAGGCCCTGGCTGGGCTGTGCTGGGAGGTGGGCGTGACCTTTCTGCTCATTCTCAGTCCCCAAACCCTGGATTTTACCCCTGAGGGCCAGGCGGAGGCTGGGCCCTTTCGGACTGCCCTGGCTCGGTGTGGCCAGCTGTGACTGCCCTTCAGAGAAGGGAGTGCCTCAGCGGTAGGCGCTGGGCCTGGCTCTCAGCAGGGCAGGGCCAGATACATGTGAGCCCCAGGCCCTTTCCAAGTGGCACTCCCGACCCCACCCCACCTCATGTCCCACCACTCCTGGTGGTCTTGCCCCTCCCACCCCCACTAGTGACTGAAGTCACATCTGGCCTCTCACCAGCCTAACCATAAATGGCCCCTTTATGTGCACTGGGGGCCGCAGTCAAGGGCAGGGACTGTCCCCCCATTCTGCACCCAGTCAAGTGGAGGCTGAAGTGACGTCCCAGCCAAGGTGGCCCAGCAGGGCAGGACAGGAGCTGGACTTAGGCATGACCTCACAGCCTCACGCCTCCAGGGTGTATGGAGAAAGCGGCCTGCCGGGCAGAGACTGATCTCTGAGGGGTGAACACAGAAAGGCTTAGCACCCCAAATCCTTAAAACTGCTGCCGTCAAACAGCCGGCTGAGTGCTAGACACCGTGGCCCCTGGCGCTAGGCCTCTCCATAGAGGGAGGGGGTGGGCTGTCCCCAGCCTGGGCCACAGAGGCCAAGCCCGGCAGCCAAGTGGCCAGTCACCACAGTCACACTACAGACCTTCACACACGGCCCGCCGGGTGGTACCAATCCGTGTTTATTGAGTAACCTACGTCCAAGACACGGCACGTGATTCCACATCAAGGAAGCCACAGGCACCTCCCCTCGCAGAGAAAACCACCCCACCCCGCGATGAGAAGGCACAGCAAACACACAGGAGGGCGCTGCGGCGGGTGGGCGGGGCCATAAATTACAGTGCGTTGGGGGAGGGGCAGGAGATAAAGCAGGTGCCGTCCAAGCTGACCGGTTGGGGCCTGCACGCGGCACCAGGGGAGCCCTACTGGGAGCACCCCCAAGCTGTGCCAGGACCTGGCCCCCTGGCCCAAGCGGTCGGGAGAGGTGAGACGCAAGGCAGCCCCTCAGCCCTCGAGGGGGGCAGCCCCTCAGCCGCCCAGGAGGCTCTGGCCCCAGGTTGTCCTCGGGCCCTGGGAGAAATGGCCTCAGGGGAGGTACCAAGCCAGGGGGCCAGAAAAGGTGGGACCACCTTCCCCCCAGGACCCCTTTCAAAGCAGGGGATCTCATTCCTAGTGCCCACCCAAAAAGGGGCTGGTGCTGGGAGGGGCTGGAGCCCGTGCCCGCCACCTGGGCATCAAGGGGCTGGAGGCGGGAGCGGGGCGGGAGGAACCCCAGTGGTGGCTTCGCCTCTCCCAGCCCCCGGGCCCCACCCTGAGCGCGGGCTGGTGTCCCAGGGGGCGGGAGAGTGGGAAGGAACAGGACAATTAAATAAGATACCGTTTATTTTTTAAAAAATTAAAAAATAATGCCGACATTATTTCATCCATGCCCAGGCCTGCCCCGGCCTCCCACCCGCCTCCCCGGGCCGGGCCCCCCTCCGGCCGCCTCGTGTAATCAAGAGGAAACAATGGACGGCTGGGCGGGCACAGGGAGGGGCAGACGGGGAGGGAAATACAGACGCCGCAGCAGCTCGGCCCTGGCCGCGGCGACCAAGCACATTGATATAAAAACGTTCGTATAAAAAGAGGGGCGGGGGCATGCGGGGCACAGTCCCAAGGGCGACGCCCCGGAGCCTGGAGACCAAGGTCCCCCAGAGAAAGCCTGATAAAAAACACGAGGGGGACGGGGAGGGTGGAGAGGAAACCTCGGGAGGGCTGGAGGCAGAGGCTGGGGGGCTCGAGACTCGAGCCCCTCTGCTGTTTTCGAGTCAGGGCGCCTCCGGGGCCCGCCCCACCCTGCCGTCCCTCTGTCAGGCCACGGGGCCCTGGGCATCTGTCCACAGCAGATTTGGGGGCTCCGCTCAGGGTCCCCTGGGCTGAGGTGGTCCAAAAGCCTTGGCAGGTGCCGGCTCTGGAGACAAGGTTCAGGCTCGCGGCTCCCCGAGGGAGGGAGAGGCCGAGCCAGAGGGAGGCGGCGGCGTTGACGGGGGAGGGCCGGGGCGGGCGGGCCGGCGGTCAGGAGGCGGCGATGGCGGTACCACCCCCCAGCTTGACGATCATCTGCTGGCAGTCGCTGCAGGAGCGCCGGTCACCCACCTTCTCCAGGGTGCGGGCTGCCTCGGCCAGCAGCACGGCCCGCTGGCCCGGGGAGGAGAGGAAGGACAGGGGGAGGTGGCGGCAGGCCAGGAGGATGGCGGTGGCCCGCTCTCGCTGGCCGGGCCAGGCGTCCACCTCTCCTGCGGGGAGGAGACACGTGAGGGAAGCACTCCCCGAGCCTGTCCTGACCGAGTCCTCACACCTGCCCGCCTGGCAAGGAAGGTTCTAGCTCCCTCCGAGTTCACAGATGAGAGGTGAACGTGCCGGCATCACACACGGTGGTTCTGGGGTGGGGCTGCACTGCAGCTCAGGCCCCGGGGCCCTGCTCCCGGACCGGCCACACGCCCAGGCCTCCCCAGGCCTCCCCCGCACTCCTGAGGCTACACTTAATAACAAGACCCTCCGGGGCCCACAAATCAAGCCTGGGGCGTCTCAACTCACCGTGCTTGGCGCTCTGCGCCGTGCGCCTCCGCAGGCTGTGCTCCAGCAGCTGGTGGGTGCGGGTGGGGCTGGCTCCTGCCATCAAGCGCACGGTGGCTTCATGCAGGAACACCTGCCAGGTGCAGGGGCTCGATCAAGCCTGGGTCCTCACCTGGCACCCGATGGCCCCTCTTCTGCCCTCCCCACCCCCTGGGTGCAATCTGTATTGTCCCACTGGCCCTGAGACAAGCCAGAAGCCAGTGTGAGTGACGGGGGACCCAAGCACAGCGCGGGACAGAGATGGAGGGGGAGGCTGTGACCGGGCAGTGCCCACTGGCGTCTGGGCTGGGAGGCAGGTGACCTCAAGTCCCTGGCCTCCAGATGGGATGTTAAGTGAGGCAGGGACAGGAGGGGTGCTGAGGGGGGCATCGTGAGGCTCAGGGTCCTGTTTCCTTCTGATTTTTTCTGAAGGAAGAGTCTATAAAGCTTACAGCTCTTTTGTTAATTGCCACTGGGAGGAGTAAGATGCAGCAGGGCGAGGCCCAGGGCTCTGATCTCTTACTATTTTTTTTTAAATTTATTTATTTATGCATATAAGAACTGGGGTACAGGCCAGAGGTGTGGGGGGTGAGACGATTCACCAGAGACAGAGTGGGGAGCAGAACAGGCACATCTATTGAAATACACTGCTGAGGGGAGCAGCGGGAGAGACAGGAGAGGTCAGCTATGCCATGTGGGTTGCTCCCTGGCCAGCCGGGGATTGAACGCTTGCTGCAGAGGCTGCTGATCACTTCATCATGCTGTGCCAGGGAGGTCCCTCTGATCTCTTAAATACCTCAAGGCTCGTATACCCTAATATCTCAGTCTGTGGGAGGCACTGGGGGAACCCAGGAGGGCTTTCAGGAAGGGAGAGTCAGGCTTTTGAGGCCTCTGTGCCCTGAGCAGATGGGAGGCCCCGAGCCTGGGGGCACCTCCTTTCTCCACAGGAGGGCTCCCTCCGGTGGTTCATCTAGTCTCTTTCCTGTCCCACTCATGCAGCAGTCGGGGTGCCCAAGCTCTGGGTCTGACCCCCAGGCTCTGGATCTGAGCTGTGGCCTCACTGGGAGTTGTGCCTGGCCTTATCCTTTATCCGAACCAACACTCTGGACTCTTCCTTGAAACTTTAGGAAAGAATTCGGGCAAAAGCGTGTTGAGGGCCTCCCCTGGTGGCACAGCAGTTGAGCCCTGGACTGCGAAGCTGCCCGCAGCCTCTGCAGCACCGGTTCGATCCCCGGCCACCGGTGAGGGTGCCACATGGCGCAACAGACCTTTCCTGCCACGCCCGCTGCTCCCCTCAGCAGTGTACTTCATCAGTCTGCCTGCTCTGCTCCCCGCCTGGCTCTGGTGAATTCGCTCACCCTCCCGCGCTTCTGACTGTACCCAGTGCTTGTATAAACAAATAAATCTTTATTAAAAAAAAAAATCGTGTTGAGCACATTATTCTAATTAGCAATTAAAATCAAACAAGAAGATGACTTAAGCACAGTAAGCCCAATTACACGACAGTCCTCAGACTTCTCTCAGGTCCTGGGCCTTTGCCATGGGTGTTACACGGGAATCTAACCCCCAGAGGCACAGAACATGGTTCTCCGCAGCTCTGGGGAGAGCTTGGCATCCTGTCAGTTAAGACCCAGGTGTACAAGCTACCCACCCACACCGCTGGGCCCTCCTGGTGGCCACTGCCCATCTCAGCCCAGGGTCTGACCGGAGAGGTGCCAGCTGCTTGCCACTGTATGTGCCACGGGGCCTGCCCACCACCGCACCCCAGGGGTCAGCACACGCAGGTACTCGACCAATGTGCCAGCAAAGGGATAGGTGGCAGCCAGCTCAGCTGGCTGACCTCTGGGGCCAACTCCATGAATTCAAGCTGGTGCCACACTGGACTCTGGGGCCCTAGACCTGCATACCCGAGCCTCACCTTGCGGTAAGCCGGGCGGAAGCTATGCGCTAGCCGGCGCAGGCTGCCCAGGTCCCGTTGGAAGCCCGCCAGCTCAGTGCCTGAAGCGTGGTAGGTCTCACCCAGGGCCTGGCTGGCTCCAGCCTGCTTTTGCCAGAGAGTTGTCCGTAGTGACAGCAGCAGGTCACAGGTCAGCAGCTGGACCACCTGTGGGTGAGCCACAAGGAAGAAGGCATGCGTCAGGCCTCTCACCAGGGCAGGGATGCTGGTGCCCAGTAGCAACCCCACCCCCACCCCAGTGCTCCAGGAGGAAGCGGAAAGGCCCAGCAGGATGACCCAGAAACACTCCATGGAAAGGAGAGCTGGGGGTGAACTGGGACTTGGGACACCTAGTCCTTCCCATGGCCCCAGGCGAGAGATCTGCTCTTCCCATACTTTGGGGAAACTGAGGCTCTGTGAAGGCAGCAAACACTCATGGGTCTGACAAGAGGCACAGGTGCCTCCACGCAGAACAGGAAGTCTGAAGTGGCCGTCAGGCCTGGGACGGGGAAGGGGAGAAGGACTCTTCGGTGGAGGGCAGACAAAGCTGGGCCCAGTGGCCTCCAGGGATGGGGAAATGGAGCGAAGGCAGAGCCACTGAGCCGCTGAATGCCCGGGTTTAGACCCATGAACGTGATCGGTCGTGGCTTTATCACGGCTAGCTACGCTGGCACACTTCCCTGAGCTTCAGTTTCCTCACCCACAAGGCAGACATGCGGGGTGGTTGTAAGGGTGTGTGTGAGCAGCGTGCCGGGCCCTCACGCACGCTGCACAGGGCCGGGCCACCCACCTGGCTGTCAAGGCCCATCAGCACTGGCAGCCATAAAAGATGGTCAAGTCCTTTTAGTGATGGGTCAGACGTGGCCCTCAGATTCATACGGGCTTCTCCAGACCACGGCTCCCTCACCCACATGGTCCGCCCTCCTTCCCAGGCCACCTGAGCCCTGGGCCCCTGCTTCTGTGGTACCCCAACCTTGGTCACGCTACTTTCTGGCTGCTCACAGCTTCAAGGGGACATGACTGTGGTCCTCTCCTCTAACAAAACCTGTCACTAGTGAGTGAGCTCCTGGAATCCCCTGTGGATGGGGGCACCTATGGGTGAGGGTAGAGGCTTGGGGCTGGGTCTGCTTGGGTTTAGACCTATAGCCCCTGAGGGCCAAGCTCCACAGGGTCTCCCTTCCTCCACCCATTCTCCCCCATGGATGCCACCCAGGAACCCAGCTGCTGGGGTGTCCACAGCCCCTCCCCCACCTCGGACGGGAGGCCAGCCCTGGAAAGGCACGGCGGGGATGTGGCTCGGGTGAATGAAACCCTACTCCTCGTGTGAGCGGACAGTGCTTCGCTCCAGCTGCAAGCACTGCCCGTGACACCCCTCAAGACCGGTCAGTGGCAGCGGCGCCCGGGGAGGCCTGGCGGGAGTCCCTCGCGGGCCGGGCAGGCCTCTGTGATGCACTGTGGGAACACTGCATGAGTACCGCCGGAACATGCAATGCAACTACAATGCACCACAGCAGCCTGCGACGAGGCGCTCCGGCGGCGGTGGGGGCATGCGAGGGGCTGCGGCTCACCTGGGCTGACAGCCGTGGGGCCTGAGGAAGGCGCAGGTGGAGGCAGGCTTGCTGAGGCCTACAAGGGAGCCCCCTGGGCCAGCCCACAGGCCCGGAAGCTCAAGGTGGGGAGCCCAGCGCCTCCCTGAGGGGCACTCACGTGGTTGAGGGCAGGGTCACAGGAGGCCCCGCTGACGTTGAGGCTGCTCCACAGGTGGCCGCTGGCCCTCTCGCAGTGGCCGAAGGCGCTCTGCTGCCCCTCTGCCTTGGTGGAGAGCGAGGCGTGCATGGCTCTGCAGGTGTGCAGGACGGCCTTGACCAGGGGGCTCCTGCGTGGAGAGGGAGGCGGGAGCGGGGGTCAGTCTTCGCCACCTGGGCAGCATGAGGAAGCCGAGTCAGCAACCGGCACGCAGCACACGGCGGGGACACGGGCCTGTCAGCTCAAAGGCTGCCGCGATGGGCGGCCCCCGCCACAGCCCCTCCTCCTCCAAGGAGTGGCCAGAACCGGGGATCTGGCGACGAAGCCTTGAGCGGTGCAGTCCCAGCATAGGGCTCACGGCTGAGCCCCCTTTCCGCAGCGCCCTCTGCTCTCCTGGTGGAGTCCGCCTGACTGCGGTGGGCGCCAGCCAGGCTGCGCAGGCCTTCCCACCTTGGCATGCGTGTGCTTTCTCTGCAGCGGCGGATGTCAGGGACACTTGGATCCGGTCAGAAAGCTCCAGGGTCCCTGTCACTGCTACCGTGCCTGCAGGCACGAGTCCCCAGAGAGGAATGTCCAGAGCTCCCCATCGTGCCGCTGGCCTTTGACAGGGGCTGCTGGTGGCGGAGGAAAGTGGGCACGATGCTGGCACGGGAGGGAGGCTCCCAGGCCCTCGCTGCCTCTGCCGCTGTCAAATACCCCACCCTGCTAGGCTACCCCAGGAGCCTCTGCAGGTGCCAGCAGCCCCGCCTGCCCTCCCCTGGGCCCAGAGGCTGTGCTGACACCCCCAGACCACACCTAGCCAAGCTCGGCTTCCGGCGGGGCCCTCTCCCTGCCTCGAACTTTATTGCTCCAAGTGTCAGGGTCCCCAGGATGCCTGGCCCTTCACCCCGACGGTCCGCTCTCTCTGGCTAACTCAGACAAGCAAGCCTGGCACAGCAGGTGGGGATTCTTCTGGAGAGGAAGAGGTCAACAGCTAAGGGGCTAACGTACTCAGACACTTCCAGGGCTGCAGGGACACGTTCAACTTCGGTGAAGCGGGTGCGCACGGCTGCGTCGTCTCCCTGGAGCCAGCTGATAGCCATCGTGATGGCCGAGGACCACCAGCGACAGACGACATCTGGACCTGGAGGGGAATGGCACCAACATCACCCCAGCCTCCACAGGAGACAGCTTGTGGCACTCAGCCCGGTTCTGTGTGGCCTGTGCCACCTCTGCCTCTGGGCTGCCCTTGCAGAGTATTCTGGTGGAAGCACAACCACCTTTCGGAAACAGCTGCCAAGATCTCTAAACCTGTGTGCTCTTATCAACCCAGCAGTCCCACTTTGGCCAATCTGTCACAAAGAAAGTGACCTAAATGAAAAAATAATGTTTAATAAATACATTTAGTAAGTTACTTTTAAGTAAAAAGCTAGAAACAACCTAAACCGTAACTGGCCACGGGAGACAGTGCTGCTCAAGTATTCATATGAGCAGGTTCTCCTCTCAGAGGCCTGGTTTCTCAACCACCAGCAATCTTCCCCGCCAGAGGAAGGGCGCAGGGGAAGGAGGCAGAGAGCTGGAGCCTCTCTGGGTCTGCAATGAAGGCGCCACGAGGTCAGTGGTAATGACGGGCTGCTGCTTTTCTGGAATCCTGCCATTCCCAGGGAGTGGCTAGACAGGAGCTTGACACACCCTCCCTCCCAGCAGCCTCCAAGCTGGAGAGGGGGCAGCCATGTGCTACAGCCCTGACTTGCCCCTCCAGCCGGGGCCCAGGAAGACATCACTGGGTTACCATCCCACTTCTAGAAGAATCATTATTTATTTCCTTCCCAGGGATGCTGTGAGGCAGACTGCCTGAAGCCATAGATACCAACCTCACATACGAAGAAGATTCTCGAGTTGTACACTTTTACCTAACCCTGGATGCCTGGACACAGCGTGGGGAAAGGCAGGATCCAGCAGGCTGAGGCCTGCGGGGCCTCCTGCAGACACTCACCAAGGGCTGACTTGAGCACGGAGCTGCTGGAGAAGGGTGGAGGTGCAATCCCCACAGAGTCCACAAAAGAATTGAGTAATTTCAGGAACTCCAGGGCACTGGAGAATTCACTAGAAAGAAGGGTTCCAGGTACGTAAAATGGGCACAGGACCTGCTTGCAGACTGGCTGTTTCGCTCTCCAGCTCCAGTATACATTCCTGGCCTTCTCCCCCATGATGCCAGGGCACCCTCAGTTCTGCCACCCACACCACTCATGCCACAGGCTTTCTATGCCTGGTCTGGAGGAAAACGGGAAGGAAGCACCCCATTTCCCTGCAGACCCTGTCCTGGGAAGCTTGCTGGGAGCGTGGGCCAAGGCAGGGCCTTGGGGACCTACCAGCTCTCTTCTTCCTGGTCACCAGCCTTCTTCTTGGCCTGAGGCTTCACCAAGCACTCCACGGCTCGCTCCAGCAGGCTCCTGCAGAAGGCCTGGTGCACCTGCGCAATGGGGTCGGCTGGAGAAGAGAGAGGCCAACAGTGGGGCTTGACAGGTCTCACTTAAGAGTCTTTTTGGACATAGAGCGTGGGGAGAGAAAACAGTTCTCCCCTCTGAAGGGGGATCAAATTCCCTTCTCAACCAAACCCCAGAACAACCTTATTTGATGATCAGAAGGGCAGGGCGGGGCAGGGAGGGTGGTCACCCCAGCCTGCAGAGCCGACTCTTGTTCTGACCGGCTGCTGTGTGTGAGAGTCTGTCTGGGGGGCATGTGTGGGGTGTGAATGTGGGGTGAATGTGTGGATGGGGGGACGTGAGCACTGTGTCACTTGGCATGGTGTGAGGTACTTCCATCTGGGCCAGGAGCCATATGATGGTGGCCATAAGCCTTGACAGAAAACAGCGACACCAAGTCTCAGGGGCTGCCTCCTCCTCCTGTGGCTCAGGAGCCGCCAACCGAAAGGAAAAAGGTAGAGGCTGCTCCGCTGACGTGACAGAGAAGACCCCACTCCTGCATCCCAGAGCCCTGTCAGGCGCGCGTGGTCAGCGAGGGTCTGGCTGAGTAAACAAGGGGTCTTGTCCTGCTGGTGAGAGTCGCTGAGTCCCGTGGACAGGCCAGAGCAGGATGGCCAGCCCTGCCCGCCCCGCGTGCGTGCAGAAGCGTGGGCCTGCTCTGACAAGGGGGCATCATGACACCAGGAGCATGAATGGGTGTCTGTGGTGCCAGTGAAGCAGACTGCGGGGTGGCCTCGAGGTCAGGACCCAACGACTTCCTTCCTCCCTTCTGGTGCTGCTCACCCTTCTTACACTAAGCAGGAAACTTACTTAAAAGAACAGTGGTGTCTATTCTCTCCCCACCCCCCAAAACCTGAGACATGTCCCTGTGCGTGCAGAAGCCACCCTCATGCTCCCCATGATGGGGGCGGCAGCAGGTCCTGGGCAGCTCCAGCAGGTCCTGGGTGACCGCCTGTCGCCCAGTGCTGTCCTGTACACCTGTGTGCTTCCGGGGGCCCGGGCCAGGAAAGGCACCCTGTGACCCTCCAAAGTCCCCAGAACAGAGCAGTGTGACCGACGCTTGTAAGGTCAGTGGGAGGGGACTGCAACCCCAGCGAGGCCGCTGACCAGGCCATGGGGTCCCGGAGACTACCTGCGTCTCCACATGACCAGGGCGCAGTCAACTGCTGCACAGGGGTGCACGTGGCTCCCCAGTTCCCTGGTGTTGCAGAGCTCTCACCTGGGTTCCTCTGGGCGCAGTACAGACTCTCCCTGGCAGCCGACTTCACCGACCAGCTCCGCTCCATGAAGAACTTCTGGCCCAGCGGGTGGCAGAGCCAACGCAGGGAGTCGGGGATGGCGCTGTGCTCGGGGCCACACAGGCTCTGGGCCCGACTGAGGAAGTAGCTCTGTGGAAGGACAAGCACCAGGGTGACACTAGGGCAGCAGGAGGCTGGCTGTAGCCCCCATGGGGGAAGCGGCTGGGGGAGGGGGCTGCGGGATGGTGGGGACCCTCGGGATCCTGGGAGTCAGTGCCACCAGTGACTAGGGCTCCCTGGTGGAGCCAGGCTGGATGACCAGGGACAAGGCACTCTGTCCATTTTCTCACTAACCCCACTACCCGCTGAGTGCGGCTATCCACCCAGACAGCGTTCCTAAGTGTCCTGTCTCCTCCTAACACCCATGACTTTCAACACAGGCCACTGGGAATGAGGAGCTGAGCAGGGTGCTGGGGCAGGCTGATGGGCCTTGATCTTCACACAGGGCCTCTGCTGTCTCCTTGTCAGGCTCGGTCTGATGGTTGTGACCTTTGCTGGACTCTAAGTAGCCATCAGCTGCTGTGATGGCCCCGGAGACTTGAATGTCAGGGTCAGAAATAGCATCGCTATGGCTCCACTTGGGGAGCACGGACGGGAAGACCGCCTGCCTCAGGAGAGCTGGAGACAGCGCCTGCGCCGGAGGGCTCGGGACCTGGCTGACCTGCTCCCAGAGCACGCTCAGCAGACATGGCGGGCTGGCAGCACCAGTGCCCTGTCTCCTCTCTGAGTTGAAAAAAGGTGCCTCAGAGCAAGCGAGGGACCCCTTGAACTCCTTCTGACCCTGACAGAGCAGCCCTCGCTGACTGAGCTCGTTGCTGAGATGGTCAGAGAATAGCCTGAGGAGCCCAAAGGGAGAAGGCTGGGGGCAGGGTCCAGTGTGGCAAGTCCGAGAACCTTCTCCTGCTGGCCCAGCTCTGTCTCGAGAGCACATGCCTCAGGATGAGCAAGGGAGCCTGGAAATCGGGGACTGCTGGTCCCTCAGAACGACCCAGGCATCACCACAGACACAGACACAGCCTGGTCAGGCTGGACTGCAAGAGGACCAGAGGAGCTGTTCAGAAAATCATTAAGTTGAAACACATATTTAGCTTAATTCTTTAGAAAAGAAAAACTTCAGTTATAACAAATCTCAGGGGGGGGCCGTGGGGGAAGAGTTTAGTGGTTTGAATTAATAAGAAAAATAAATCCTGGGAGGGCCTCCCCGGTGGCGCAGCGGTTGAGCGCTGGGTTGCGAAGCTGCCTGCAGCCTCTGCAGCCGGTTCAATCCCCGGCTGCTCCCTGGCCACCAGAGGAGGGTCCCACATGGCGCGCAGACCTCTCCTGCCGCCCGCTGCTCCCCTCAGCAGTGTCCTTCGGTCCTTCTGCCTGCTCTGCTCCCCGCTCTGGCTCTGGTGAATTCTCTCACCCTCCCGCGCTTCTGACTGTACCCAGTGCATGTATAAACCAAACAAACAAACAAATAATAAATAAATAAATAAGACATGCCTCTAGAAAATTTAAAAAAAAAAAAAAAAAAAAAAAAAAAAAAAATAAATCCTGGGATACAGTCACCCACATTAGGCTTCTATAAGGGAAATTGAGGAAATAATTTCTGTTGTTCATTTCATTTTCTTGGTATTATTACTCTATGATCATTTACTAAGTTTTATAGGCACTAGAAACCACCCCAGGGTTTGCTTCCCAGTGACTGCTGTGCTAACCACCAGGGCGAGGACTGTGACAGGAGACATGGACAGTTGATATCCCGAGGAGCCCCTGTGCCAGTGCCAGCCCTAGCCCCAGGTGCATCCCCCACATGGGCTCAACCCTGGGGTTTTCTGGGTGGGTGCCAAAGCACCCCAAAGTGCCACAGTGAACTAGCGGGGCGCCCCAGACGTTCTTTTGAGGTAAAGGTAGTAGATGACCAGGTGACCCTGCAGGGCTGTCTGTGCCAAGAAGGGCCGATGTTCTGCCCCGCTGCATCCACTTGGGGAGGGTGGCCCGGAACAGGGACGCGGCAATGTCTGCGAGATGAATGGGCTGACGGAGGCATCTCAGGTACAGGGTTCAGGCACAGAAAGCACACTCGGCGTTCCCATGCCTTCTGTCACCTCGACGACCGTGACCCGTCTGGAGAAGCCAGCAGTGCCACCACAGGTCACGCTTCTATTCATCCCCAGCTCATCAGGCCGGAGGGAGAGCCTGGGCGAGCAGGTGCCGCGAACGAGCCGCGTTGACTCTGTGCAGGCACAACGGTGGCCCAAAGACCTCCCCTCGCCGGTCCTACCTGAGCCCCCAAGACAGGCACCATTTTCCATATCTGGATCCACAGTGCCCAGTAGGTACTTTCTGAGTGAACGAAAAGCCAAGGAGATACAAGTGGAAGATTCCAAGAACCCTGACTACTTGGAAGAAGGAAGAGTCACACATTAAGTCTCCAGCACAGGTCTGAATCAACCAGCCCTCAGGCCAAATTGTCCGGATTATGCTGATACGGGTTGAAATTTGTTCCTTTTGTTCCCTGAGTAAGCATCTGCGGAATGTCTCCCCTGAACCCCTGAACACATGTCTGTACCTCCAGGTGGGCTGTGCCCACAGGCAGGGCCCTATGCCTCCTCACGCTAGGTGCACAGGGCTGGGGAAGGTGCTCAGAGGAGCTGCAGGGCACTCACCGCCAGGAAGCCCAGCTTGCCTCCGCACCGGGTCTGGAGCCCCATGGCTGCCGTCAGATGGATCTCCACCAGTGTGCTGGGCGGGATTTTCTCCTCTGCACACTCAGCCAGGTTCACCGCGCACAGAGCCATGTGTACATCTGAGCAGGCAGATCCCGCGGGAAGCTTCCCTATGGCAGACAGAGACACCGACATTGAAAATCCCAAGCCGAGCTTCTCCCGCGTTCTCAGCCACCTGCAAGTGTGGCTGCAGGGGAGGCTGGGCCGAGCATTCCCAGGCTTGAGCCGAGGGCCGGAGGCCAGGCCTCACCTGTGATGTGCAGCTGGTGCAGCCGGTGGTAGGCCAGGGCCGCGTCCCGGGCACTGGTCTTGGCCTGGTCCTCGAAGCCCGCGGCAGTGGCCGGGGTGGGCCGCCAGCGCTGCAGGACCTTCCTAAGCAGCCAGCGCACGGGGCGCAGCTTCTGCAGGCTGTAGCGGATGGCGTTCCAGGAGAGGCTGCAGGCCAGGTCCAGGCGGGAGGCGGGCAGCGCCCGGCCCAGCACCGACAGGCAGGTTTGCAGGTTGGCGGCGGCAGCAGCAAAGTCCCCCTGGAAGGCAGCAAAAAGGGGATGTTCGCCAGCCGCGCTGGCTCTCTGTGTCCTAAGAAACTCCCACTGTCCCCTACCCTGGTGACTGGAAGAATGCAGGCTCCTCGGGGAAGACCTGGGGAAGATCGGCAAGCTAGGAGGAAGGAAAGGACACCAAGTGGTGATCTCACCACCTGGAAAGAACGACCGCTGACCTCTGACCCCTGCCCCCACCTGTACTCCAGTGTGGGCCCTGAGCGCTTCCAGCTTCCAGTCACGTTGCTCAGTTTCCCACAGGACCTTGGGCCCCAAGGTGATGAGGAGCCACGTGCAGGTCCTCAGTGTGCTCCTGAGACCAGCTGCCTCAGCCCTGAGACCGTTAGACACGGAAACCTATGGGGTCATGCCCCCACCCCGAGGACCTACAAAATCAGAACCTCTGGGCTGGGTCTCCTAGGTGATTCTGATCTGCTGAAGCCTGAGAACACTGGTTTTAGGTAAGTGCTTGGCCAAAGCACCCTACTAACCAAGGACCCAGGTGACCCACACTCTGCCAACCCCAGCAGCTCAGGGGGAGATTCTCGGCAGTAGACTGAAGACCCCTGTCTCTGGCTCCATCATAACCGGGGCTCGGAGACTCAGTCGTGGGAAACGGAAGTGGACGCACCCCGCCTGTCCCCCCTCCTGCACCGGGTGCAACACCTGTCTCTCCTCCCTGCGTCGTTCTAGGAAGTGGGTCATGACATGGGGAAGGTGAGAGGGGGCATCTCCACGGGGACAGCAGTGCCTTTCCAGTTGGGAGAAGCGCATGTTCAGATCCTGAAGGCAGCGGCCTTCCGGGTCTCTGGCTCCATGTCCCGTCTTTCCCACACAACGGGTTGTTCCCAGGGCCCAGGCATCGGCTCTGCCTCTTCTGCTCACGAAGCCAACTCTCCGTCGCAAGGCGGATAGACGGCGGGAGGGAGAGCAGGCCTGCAGCTCACAGCGGCGAGGAGCGTCATCCTTCCCAGACGGGCTGTGAACACCCCTCCAGTGCTGTGAGGTTCCCCCTATCCTTAAAAACCTTCCTTGTTAACTTCCAAAGAAAACTTTCAGCCTGGGGGGAGGGAAAGGCGGCCGCAGAGCTTACCCTGGCGAGATCCAGGTCTGCCTGTTTCCGGTGCCTCCAGAAGGTGACTGAGGAGCGTGAATGTGGCCGGATTACTGGCTCCCCATGGACCAGCAGCTTCACGAAGACGCTCAGGACGATGACACCATTTACCAGCCATAAGAGGAGCGTTGGCATCATCCAGTCAAACCAGCCCCCGGAACCTAAAGGGGACATCTCAGCTGAGCCCTTGAAGACGGGGTGCCAGACACCTGACTGACCCATACCTGACTGACCCTCAGCACTGTGACGAGAACTTCTACCTCATTTTCAGAAGACAGGGCTGATAACAAGATGACCTCCCTTTGTAGGGTGTCTAAGTGCTCCAGGTAGGAATAAGATATACAGCCTAATCCAGACCCTGGGACAGTTCCTTACTCTAACTGGGAATCCTGTGGCCCTCGTCACTGTGCCAAGTGCCACTCAAATCTGTTAGCCGAGGCGGTCACTGGTTTCCTAATTCAGGCAAAAAACATCACGTCGGCCTTCAATAGATGTCCCACCCTCCCGACCCCCAGGTAACAAGAGCAGTTCAGGCTCCTGGTGAACTTGGGTTTGCAGGTTACTCCCTTTGGGGCCTGGGGGACCATCTGAGCAGCTGCACACGGGCCCTGCACCCACCTGAATCCAGGGACAGTATGCTGCGCCCAGAGCCTGAATATGGGTGTTGGTCCGAGTCGTGGGTTCCTCCCCACTGCAGCAGTGTGGTCAGGGGATTGAAGGACAGGCACAGGAAGGTGAGGACGCACAGCAGGATTCTTGAGCGGTCCACCATGCCCAGCGCGACAGGAGGGGAGTCGGGCTCATCTTTGACCTTCGAAACAGAGCCAGGTTAGGGGCACCCTTCTGTGTGCAACGGCACTTTGCTTTTACATATATGTGGGACACCGGACTGGGAGACATTCAAGAGCAGGAATCAGGGCCTCCCTGGTGGCGCAAGGGGTTAAGCACTGCACTGTGGGATGATCCGAGGCCTCTGCAGCACGAGTTCGATTCCCAGCCAGCCAGGGAGCAACCCACATGGTGCAGCAGACCTCTCCTGTCTCGCCCGCTGCTCCTCTCAGCAGTGTATTTCGTCAGTCTGCCTGTCCTGTTCCCCGCTCTGTCTCTGGTGAATCCTCTCACCCCCCGCACCTCTGGCCTGTACCCCAGCTCTCCTATGCATAAATAAATAAATCTTAAAAAAATAAATAAAATGTTTAAAAAAAAAAAAAAAGAGCAGGAATCAGACAGGAGAAAAGCCAGGAGCAAACACGGGACCCACAGTTCTCCATGCATTGCCCAACGCGGGGGCAACTCAGGCCCCGGCCGCCTGGAAGGACGCGTGCCAGAGACCACAGGGGGAGGAGACCCGCATGTCAAGTAGGGCCGTGTCATGAGAGAACGCAGAGGCGGTTTCCGCACCGCTCCCAGCAGGTGCAGCTAACCTGAAGCTATGGAAAACAGCACTGTCGAGGAGGAGGGGGCAGGAGGGGCACCTCGGGTGAGGAGGAGTCTCTACCCTGTGCACAGCGAAGGCCAATAAGGGCGGCCCAGGTTAAGGCTCACTGTCGGGGGTAAGACGGTACCTTGACATCAGCATGTTCTAGTCAATAAATCACACCCTCAGTGCGGATGATTAAAAACCCCTCTTCAGCGTGTGTTTATTGAAAGGACTTGGCCTGCGCTTAATCTACCAGGCCGCCTGCCCTCCCCATTTTACAGGGAGAATTAGAGGCAGAGGCCTGGGGAGTCCAGAGAGGCAGGAACTCATCCATACATGAGTACATAAATGCGACTTCTTTTCAATATTTTAAAACCACTTAAGATTTCTTCTTATGATTCAGTTGTCTGATTCCTGATTTGCATGTCCCAAGGCCTTTTGCTATCAAGCAGAACCACCTTATAAAAATTTTCAAAAATAGGCCTTTCCTTAGTAAAAACAAGTACAATAAAGCAGCGTGCTCAGTTACATACGCAGGAAGAGAACTTTGTTCTTTCGAGTAAGAAACTGCAATGTCAAAACACAGCACAGCAGCCCCAGTGGTCCCCACGGTGCTGGGAGATCATTAGGCTCGAGCCTCTTAACTAATTCCATCAAACAACAATTGCCAGGGGCTTTCTGGACGATTAAAGCTCTTGGTTGGAAAGTTATCGGTTAGACTGCAAGCTGTTACCATTTCCGGAAGAGGACCCAGAGCAGCCTTGTCCGACACCGGCTGATCAGCCCCACAAAGTGCCAGGCCCACTAGGGTGGAGGGAAGTAATGAGGCGCCTCCGGGAACCCCTCGCGTGACAGCTGCTGTGCGTTCCGTTCTGAATCTGCCCCACGTTCTCTCTGAGGGCCCCTTTCAGCAAGGACCAGGGCTTTCTCTCCCCACCCCCGTCAGCTTCTGGTTCTTTATTCTCCAGGCCCTGGCTGATCTCACTGGAATTCATCATCCTCTCCAGCCTGGGTGCTCCAAAGACCTGGCTGGGCCGTCTCCGGTCTCCCTGCTATTAACTCAGGGAGACGGAAGTTTCCAGAGGTTGGGAACGTCAAGAGCTCATCATACCTTTGCATCATCCAGCAGGGGGCTTCCTGGCTCAGAGTCGATGGAGTAGGGGGAGAACCCGGCCTGGGAGCCCGAGTCGGACGCCGGGGGAGACATGAGGAGGACGTTCTGGTTGAAGTCGTCGATCTTCAGGTCCACTTCGCTGTCCACCAGGCTGCCCAGATCGATGCCCTTCAGCAGCTCTGCAGGCAAGACCCCTCTGGCAATCAGTCTGTTTGCATAGAGCCCCACCTGGGTGAGGGCGCAGTTCCCTGAGGTTCTGGGCACAGCAGTGGGTCGGCCCCAGGGCCTAGCACAGGATTTCTCCAATAAGCAAAGGTCCAATACCCCTTGCCCAACGTGCACACTCACTGTTTTTCTGATTTGCCAGCTTTAGCACCATGTTCTCCTGGCGTAGCTTGTGGTTGACCTGCTGCAGGTATTTGATGTAGTCGATGGCCTTGCGCAGAACGCCGGACTTGTGCATCTGGGGAGGAAGGCGGGTGACACAGTGAACCAAGTGTGCCGCGGCAAGGAGCACAGAGCCAGGGCGGGGGCCACGGGAGGCTGGAGTGGGGGGGGCCAGGTTCGGAGGCGGGCTCTCCCGCTGATAAGCTGTGCTACCCAGGACGCGTCACACACCACCCCTGACCCTCACCTTCCTCTTCCTTAAAATGGGGATAACGAGATGTGTGAATCAAAGGCTTGCGGCTGGGAGGCTAAAGGGGATGACGTGTATAGCGTCAGCCCCAGCCTGGCTCGCAGTGAAGCTTCCCAGCATCCTACGGTAACACCCGGACGATCCGGGCTGTCTAGGAAGGTGCCTTCGCGGCTCTGGGCAAGCCCTTGCTTGCACAGCTAAGTGCTGTTCTCAAGGTAAAGCGGCACTTTCAGGTGTGGAGGCTCTAAGGAAAATGCCATTTTCTTTCAAAATGGAGGTGAAGGTAAACAGGTAATAGGTAAGAATCACCTACTCGCCAGAAGACATACCCACTCATGCCCCAGAAATACAGGAAAAGTCAATTCCCTTCATTTACTGTTGGTCAAGGCCCATCTCCACTCTCTCTTTCCTGTAAGGTGATTGCCAGCCCCCAAACACAGGTAAGGCATGCTGTGGGCCGGCGTCAGGGCACACACCGGGCATACCCGGCCCTCGCCGTGCACAGCCTGCAAAGGTCCAGCACTCGCTGCCTGACCAGCCCGACAGTCCCCGTTTGTTGGTTAATGTTTTACAATCTTTTTTTTTTTTTTTTTTTTTTTTACAATCTTGACTGGCACCAGATGCTTTAGTGAGAGGGTGCCTCTAATAACTTCCGGTGCTCACTCAGCTCGCGCCCGGGGTGTCCCTCGATCCCACAGTGGTGACAGGCAGGGGCAGACGGCAAGCCCCAAAGGTCACTGTGCTCAGCACCTACCTTGGCATCTGTCCCCATGACCAGGTCCTTCAGCTCAATGATTTTGTCATTGATGGACGAGCGATACCGCTTCTCTATGATGTTGTGTGTGGTCCGTCTTTCTCCTTCTTTGGGGGGCTCCAGCTGCTTCACCCCCCCAGGCACCTGCTTGATGGGCACTTTCTCTTGCCCCATCATCACAGGCATCGTGGTCAGGATTGTCCCGTTGCTGCCCACTAGGGTCTAGAAGAGGCACAAAGAGAGGCACCGAGCAGTGAGGCCAAGTGAGCAACCTCACATCAGCCTGTAGCTGGCAAGAGGCCCTGCTGTCTCACCCCTTCCTGGGTGAGACACGTCAGAAAGTGATGGCCCCTAGGCCTCCCCGGTGGTGCAGGGGTTAAGACGCAACCTATGAAGCGGTCTGCAGCCACTGCAGCACGAGTTCGATTCCCGGCCAGCCAGGGAGAAACCCACATGGTTTGGCGGGATAGACCTCTCCTGTCTTTCCCGCTGCTCCCCTCAGCTGTGTACTTCAGTCCATCCATCCGTCTGCCTGTTCTGTTCCCTGCTCTGTCTCTGGCGAATCCTCTCACCCCCCGCATCTCTGGCCTGTACCCCTATTCTTGTCTAAAAATAAATAAATCTTTACTAAAAAAAAAAAAGGAAGCGATGGACCCTGAGTGGCCACACCCTGTCAGCATCACTGACAAGTCACATACCAGGGGATGGCTGTGGCTCAGCGTGTGATCCAGGGAGCTCGGAGCAGGCCACGTGACTTCTGCTTTGCCATCAAACCATTAACCACCTTGGAGCTCCCACACAGGAGTGAGCTGATTTTAATTTTACTTTCAATAAATGGCCTTCATATCAAAATGGCCACGAACAAAAAAAAAGCACCTCAAACTTCATTGGGTTTCAGAAGTAACTCACACATAACACAAAACACATGTGCCAAGAGCCAACGAACTTTTACGTGTGCGTGTCACCAAGATAACCCAGAGTCAGCCACAGACCACTGCTGCTGCTGCTCTCTACCCCTCACAGACCCGAGCACCCCATGACAGGCACAGTGCTGCTCGGAGGGAAGAGCAAACTGCGAGAGGAGACAGCTCAAATTGGCAGACCTAAGGCCAGAGCTCAAGCGGGACTCAGCCTGCAGAGGCTTTGCGAGCATCTCTGAGGCCCAACAACCCCCTGGGGTAAGTGGGGGCGAGCAGTGGCACTTACTGGGACTTGAAGGGCGGCTGTCTGGATAGGGGTGGTGAGGGCAGTGAGGGCCGGGTTCTGGACCGCAGCCATCACAGGGCTGCCGTCTGTCTTCAGCGTGGTCAGAACGAGGGAATCCGTCTTGATGATCTGAGGCTGTACCAGGACCTGGATGGAGATGAAGAGGAAGAGGAAGCAGCATTGTTTTTGTACCTTGTATCAGCTTCTCACTGCACAGATCCCCCAAGAAAGGACGAAAAAATAAAAATGTCAGGAAACCGACGATGAAAAAGAGACCAACTCTCACAGCAGCCATTTCCAAAGCTGGCTGTTCACAGAGCGGTGACACTGCATGGAGCAGGGAAAGAGTCTCGCTAGAGAAGGTCCTGGGTTCAGGCTGAGAGGCTTTGTGGGGAGCAGTTCCAGAGGCCTTGCAGGGGCACAGCAGGCCTGGTTTGGTGTGGATGGCAGAGGGGAGAGAGATCTCACTTTACACAAACACAGGAAAGCCAGCAACAAGGCAGAGAAGCAAATGATAAACCTGCATTTTCTTTTAAAAATAAATTTGTCAGAGAAAACACAGCCACTGTGATACATGACTTAAAAACATTCTGGCACATTCCTTTCCAGCTCTCTCCCAGCGAGGGTGAACGAGCGGATGTGCCCGCCCTAAGTCTATGTGAGGCCCAGTACCTCTAGGTGCCAACTTGGTCCGGACTTTCCACCAGCAACCTGGTGCCTTGCAGGGCCCTATCCCCTAAAAGCTGCTCCCTCACTCTCCCTGCCAGCCCTTCTTAGTATGCAGACCACCCCTGCAGCCAAGGACTGGCTGAAGGCCCCAACCACAGCCTCCCCACGCCCTTCCCTGTCAGCACTTACCGGGACCTGCTGCACCTGGGGTGCAGCCACCGTCTGCACGGTGGCGGGGGCAAGTGTCTGTAGCGTGCCGTTGGCGGTCTGCGTCAGCACCCGCTGGGCCTGCACTGTCTGCACCTGCTGCTGGATGGTGACCGGCTGCACCTGGGATGATGTCACTAGGCTTTGGACTTGAGGCTGGAGGACTTGGGAGAAGAGCAGAAGAGTCAGAGAGAGGCAGAACACCTTCTGTTGCTGCAGCTGCAGCAGAAACTGGAAGGCGGGGCACCTCCTAGTGACCCCCCCAGCTGCTGCTGAAGACGGACACAGCCACTGACAAGCTGGTTGAGACAATGAGAACACCCATCAGGGCAGCACTGGGTTCTGAGGGAAGGCGTGCAAATCACTGCCTCACTCTGGCTGCTGGGGTGGGGTGAAGGAAACCGACCAGCAAATGACTGCTCCCAGCAAGGAAGTTAACAGATGTCAGGAGCCAACAGCTCCTGGGGCTCCCTCCAGGAAGCACACTCTGGCCCGCCTCCCTCAGCTGTGTGCCTTGCGCCACCTGACTCCCAGCCCCAAACCCTTGAAGCCCATTAAAAAGGCTATCAGATTCTTTAAAATTTGGGGCAATACTAATTTCACCCAGGGACCCCCATGGGATCAGAGGGAAATCTGGCGAGAAATCCCCAGGACACAGGACAACACAGGTTACCCATCGCCACACACTGAGGGCTGAAGCCACCTATATCCATTGCTCCCCACCCATCTCTGTGGTGGATGCTCAGGAGTTTGCTGAATGGCTACAGGCGCGGAGCTCTGGGGCCCGGGTTAAGTCTCAAGTCTAATGTCATTCAAGTACCCCCCGAGTTACCAGGATGGCCCTGACCCTACTCTGCTGGTTAGAGTCTTCGACCAAGTACCCTCAAAGCAGGCACCGCGGGTACTGAGGTATCTGAGGAGGTGGCCTCATCAGAGCAAAATGTTCCTGTGCTGCTGTTCTCGCAAAACCTGAGGACCAAGTCCACAGAGCCCGTCACTCCTGAAGAGCGCAGGGCTCAGACAGTCCACAGCCAGAGTGGCCCCCAACCATACCAGGCGTGCCCGCAGAGTCACCTTGAAAGCTCGTAGCTGCGTTCTGGTAGATCAAAGGCTGCTGGATGATCCTCGTCTGGGGCGCGGTGCTGAAGGTGGGGGTGATCATGACTGTCTGCTGCTGCAGCTGAGCTGGAGGCTGGGGCTGGGGCCGGGGCTGGAGCACAGGTGTGGCCCTGGGTGGTGTCGGAACTGTGGTGGGGGGGACTTTGACTTGCAGGGCTGGAGCCTGGGGGGAGGTGGTAGAGGGGGAGAAGGAGGCCAGTGGGACCTGGCTGAAGGCACGCTGCATCGAGGGGTCCACGGTGCTGCCTCCACTATTGCTGCTGCCGCTGCTGCCACCACCACTGCTGCCACCAGGGAAGTTGCCGCACAGCGGCTCAGAGAACAAGTCGGGAACTCTCCCACTTGATTGCTGACAAACTGCAGCATCTCTGCAAACAAATGAAAAGGAGTAACTGTACTGCCATCCGAACACCTATGTGCTTTCAAACGCGTCGAAAAAGCCAGGGCATAGATACCTAATGGCCTCCAGGGACCATCAGAAGAGGCCTTTGGGGCCTCCCTGGTGGCGCAGCGGTTGAGCGCTGGGTTGCGAAGCTGCCCGCGGCCTCTGCGGCGCCGGTTCAATCCCCGGCCACGGGCGGGGGTCCCACATGGCGCGCAGACCTCTCCTGCCGCCCGCTGCTCCCCTCAGCAGTGTACTTCGGTCCTTCTGCCTGCTCTGTTCCCCACTCTGGCTCTGGTGAATTCTCTCACCCTCCCGCGCTTCTGACTGTACCCAGTGCACGTATAAACAAAACAAACAAAACCAGCAAACAAATAAATAAAGCATGCCTCTATAAATAAATAAATAAATAAATAAATAAATAAAACTGCTCTCTGGTGTGAGGGTCAGTTTAAAAAAAAAAAAAAAAAAAAAAAAAGAAGAGGCCTTTGTGCGGGCCCAGGCGCCAAGATGGCCGACCAAAGACACGGGACGGGACTCATCTGTTCCATGCTTCCTCTCCCCACCCCTTTCTAGTCACCTTCCTGACTGTTTGTATCAGGCCCAGTGGGCGCTACCTCTGCATCAAGTGAGGTGGCTTTGGAGGCTTCATTTTACAACTGGGAACACTGAGGCAGAGAGTGGGCAGTGGCGGTCCTAAGGTTTCAGAGCTCAGCCGCCTCAGGGAGGCCACCGACAGCCTGAGTGCGCCCCCCTGCGGCAGCGCAGAGCCAGGCAGGCGGCAGTCCACCTGCGGTCACCCCCTCCGAGATCAGGCTCCAGGTGCCTGGGACCCAAACAGCCCCAAGTTTGCTTCCATGGCCTCTTCCCAGTTTGGCCTCCCAAACCAAGGCTTACCAAACCCACCTCAAACCAGGACTAACAACTCATCTCTCACTTTTCTCTTCACAGGGCCAGTCCCTGTCAGGAGACTGGGACCTCTGTTTGTCCCAGGTATCTCCAGATCCAGCGTCTGCACTGCCCATGTTCCACCCCACCCCCTGCTTCCTCTCCAATCCGTTCCCAAGCAGCCACGGTGAGGGCTGGGCGTGGGCTTCTCTGCAAGCCCTCAAGGTCACAGCACACTGACTGGGACGCATGACACCACCGACATTCATTCCCCAAACCTCTACCAGCAAGTCCCTCCCAGCCTCCAGGACTGCGTGGGGGCAGCCTGGGCTGGGAGGCTTCCTCTGGGCCAGCAGAAAGCTCCTGGGGGTTCCCAGGGTTGAGCTCACACAGGCTAACTGGAGCCGAGGCATGTTAAGTGTCTAGTCAGTTCAGCCTGCTGGCCAAACACACCCGCCCAGGTGAAATGACAAGGCAGCACTTCTATTACCAACTATTACCAATGCCCCGGCCTCCACTCAGCACCCCCAGATGGCAGAAAGGACACATCACCACAATCTGCACCATTCAACTTCCTGTACAAGATTCAAGTACAACTAAGAGATGCCCTCAGACTCAGCACAAAGTCTAGACCAAACAAAACACTATTTAGTGTACGCATTCTAAGAACCACTTAAGATTTTAAAGTGCTTCAAGAAAATGATTAAGAGAAATCTAATAATTTATTGAGGTATCCAGAATTCCCCTAACTCCCCACTCTGGGAGGCCAACACAGAGGTCTGCTTGGTGAGCAGAAGGGCATGGCTCCCTGGCTGAATGTTTCAATCCATGGAAATGGGTGGTGGACGGGGGAGGGGGTTGGGATGGGCACAGGCTTTCGTGCCAGGAAGGTCCACAGTCCCACCTAAGCAGCCCTTGAAAACTGGCCAAGCTCCCTCTCTCCACACCACGTCCTGATGATGTTCACTTGGTCTCTGCCGTGAACATCAACGAGACAGCTTACGCCATGTGCTCAGGGAGGGCCAGGCCCTCCTAAAAATCGCGCCAGCACTGACAACACAGGAAAGAGCGTCGGGCAGGCGGACTGTTGCTGTCTAAATAAACTCCTCATCGGCTGCCCAACAAGCTGCAGTGGTGCCGCCCCAGCAGACGGTCCCTGGGCTGGGCAGCCCCGGGGACTTGGGACTGAGCATTTCAGGAAGACTTCATGGGAAGAGGCTCTTTGAGCATCACGCCAGCAGAGCACGCACCTCCCAGGCCCCCAACCCAGCACCAGGCCCGAGAACAAGGCACAAGAGGCCCATCCCAGCTTGGTTCTGCTCTGTGGCTGCTAGCACGCCCGTGGGAGCTCCCGGCTCCGGTGCTGTGCGAGCTGCTGGTGCACAGGCTGTCTCCGCTGGGAGCCATAAACCCAGAAAAGGGAGGCCAGGGAGAAGACAGAGGTTTATGGGGCTTAGAAAACGATCCTGCACCAGGAGCTGCAGCCCCCAGAGCTGAGGGCCACCCCCAGGCCTGCAAACCACAACTTACAGGCAGAGACCCTCCCCTGCAAGCCACACCCCAGTTTTTGTTGAAGCTGCTTCTTGAACTAAGGGTTAAGATGCTCAATAAAGCAGACCGGACCCCAAGAAGACATATGGTTTTGGCCTCTTTATTATATTTTTAAAAAAATTTATTTATTTATACAAGCACTGGGTACAGTCAGAAGCAAGAGAGGGTGAGAGAATTCACCAAAGCCGAGCAGGAAACAGAACAGACAGACGGACGAAGTACACTGCTGAGGGGAGCAGCGGGCGGCAGGAGAGGTCTGTGCACCATGTGGGACCCTCACCTGTTGCCGGGGATCGAACCGGCGCTGCAGAGGCTGCAGGCAGCTTCGCAGCCCAGTGCTCAACCACTGCGCCACCCGGGGAGGCCCAGTTTCATTCTCTTTAAAAGCAAGCAGCCAGGGCCTCCTGGTGGCGCAACCGGTTGAGCGCCATGCTGTCGAGCTGTCCGCAGCCTCTGCAGCACGGGTTCAATTCCCGGCTGGCCAGGGAGATTCCCAGATGGTGCAGCAGACCTCTCCTGTCATGCCCGCTGGTCCCCTCAGCAGTTTGTTTCAGTCCTTTTGCCTGTTCTGCTTCCTGCTCTGTCTCTGGTGAATTCTCTAGCCCTCCCGCACCTCTGGTCTGTATCCCCAGTGCTTATATAAATAAATAAATCTAAAAAAAATAAAATAAAAAATAAAAGCAAGCAGCCAGCATTACAGGCCTTTGCTGACCCTTGGCCACCGTAGCCCGGCCTCATGCCAGGTGCACAGGTCCTTCATGGAGTTCAAGAGCGGGAGGTGACATGTATCAATCATCCGGCTCACCCTGCCTGAGAGTGACATACTTGAAATCTGGGCCGGGAGCTCTGGTCAGGAGCAAGACCTAAGGGCCCAGGTAGGGGAATGTTATCTCCACCCTGCACAGCCAATAACCATTGGTGGGGATTTGTTATCTAGTCCTGTTAGATGCTGGGAGAACCATTTTACAAGAGTCATTTGTTCCTATAGTTTGTGTTTATTATGCACTGATGTTAAATAATGTTTTAAATTTCTTTTTAAAATTATAAATGTAACATGTTACAGAAAACAGTTAAATAAAAAAAAGTCCAGCAATTCTGCAGAGAGGGTCGTTGTCAGCTGGGACGTGTCTTTCCCGGCTTCTTCCAGCGGCAGTGGAGGCCCCTCGGGCCTTACCAATGTGGAGTGACACAGACGGCGCCCCTGCGCCCTGCTCCTTGGCTGGGGAGAATGCCATGCGCCTCGCTCTCTGTCATGGGCTGGGGACGGGGGCACCATCTTTGGAGAACCCCGCGGAGTCGTGTGCCAAGCTGGACTGATGCGCAAGAATTTAGACGCTCAGGGAGCTGGATGGCAGCTTTCCATTTTTCAGCTTCATTCACGAGCTTACAGATCTTCTACTTCCTTTCCTAGGGCTCACTGTCAGGAGCTAGATGCTGGGTCAAGGGCAGGCACCTGTGTCTAGAGAGCTCACACAACCCACGCTCCCGCCAGCGTTTCTCTCCTTGCGGAGAGGGCACTTGACCTGCAGGAAGGAGCACCGGGTGCCTTTGCAAGCCCCGCCCCCATTTTATCGGCCATTTGTATTTCTTCCTTTGTAAATTACCTGCTCTTAACCTTCCTCCACTTTTCTATTGGGCTATTTGTCTATTTTTGCTGATTCGCAAAACTTGTAAAACTGGGATACTTGTTCTTTCTGAGCTACTGGCGCGGCCGCAGGTTGTGCCTCTCCAGCCTCAGTGCCCTCATCCAGACGCAGGGGCTGCCACCCAGGCCACGGAACTCAGGGCTTTCCGGGACAATTCCAGCAGGATGGATGGCACCTGTCTGGCACTAACCTTGGCGAAAGCCTGTTATCCATACTGTTTTTTTGGGGGGACAGTCAGATTTACATTGGCTGTTGTTTTGAAAATGCAAATTTGGCCCAGTGCACCAGATGACTACATCAGAGGAAATTCTGGGCATAGCATGAAGCTGTGTCTGCTGTGCAAGAGACACACTAGGCCATGCAGATACTCAGATTCAGTTGAAATGGGCCGCGGGTGCACACGGAAGGCCCCAGCCCCTGCCCAGGGTCAGCTCACAGGCACCATGAACCATGACCTTCGCTTCTTGGGATCAAAGCCGTCCAGCTTCAGACGTGTCCTGCCACCACATCACGCTGACCCATGAGCGTGATCGTCCAGCGCCCCATCCCCATGCAGCTCTCTTCAAGGCCCAGGGCCAGGTTTGCTGAGGTATCTGTGTATCTTAGCCACTTAGCACCATCTGTAAATTGTGCTTTTTGATTACATTCATATCTTTTTATTCATTAAAATGTCTTTTTATTTATTTCTTTTTTTGGTGGCCGCTGAAACTTGAACCGATGACCTTAAGCCCATCCCTCCCAAAAGCCGGGTGGTTTTTATTGCACACTTTTTTTGCCTATGTGGTAATTTTTAGGAAGGCACAGATTGCGTTACAGACTGATTGTATACACATCTAATGTTGTGTATGAAATGACAAGGTCTTTGTGTTACATTATGAAAGTCCCTCACCCTTAAGGTTAT